GGGGGATGATGGGGCGTGGTGGATTGGCTATGTCAGGTTGAGGTTTGTGGCGAGGAAGTTGTAGGTGGGTTGTGGGGTGGACTTTCGTTGTATTTTGTTTTCCTTTCGTTGGTCTGCAGGTGCATTGTGTGCTCTGTGTATGTCGCCGGTATCTTATAAGTTAATCAAGTTTGCGTATCAAACCCGCCGACCCGCTTTCTTGTTTCCGCATATTTCTTTTTATATTGTGGCTTTCTTCAGCAAGCCCAAGGTTATATCACATGTCAGATTTTGGCTTAGCCCAATATACCTCCTGGCAAGCCAGAATTCAAAGCTATGTACTATTATACAAATTTTTTAACCATACTTAGCTTAGCTAAGTTAGAACTAGACTTCTTTAAAGGATAAACTTTTATTTAGCTTTGCTTATCTTTATCAGCCACGTTGTCTATATTCAATACTTAGTCCTACAGCCTTATCCAGTAAGCCGCCATCAACACCGATAGCTGCCGTGTAACCCAACAGCGAAGCATGTGATACATTTAACAATTCAGCCTTGTTTAAAATCATTAGGCTGCCGCTGCGAGGCCTATTTATACTAAGCCGCTCCGCCCGGAGCCTCACTCACTCCCAGATCTAACATTCACCGCGAACAGAGATCTCAAAGTATCACCAAAAGCCATGACTTCACTAGCTGTAACCTTGGGCTCCAAAGCCGGAAGCCTGATATCCCTCGGAGTAGGGCTGAGCGATGTTGCGCTGCTCATAAAGCATGGTCGTACGGTCGGAAACTGGCTGCGAGCTGCCGACAACGATGCCGAACTAGTCGAGTCGATTAGAGAGTCTTTCGATGACATTCTCACAAGGCGCGGGCTTGTGGATCTGGCCAGAATGGAATCGTTGTGGGGAGGACAACTCCGTTTTATTTACAAGGGCGAAGTAAAAGACGGGTCAAACGCAGACTCCAAGAACTCCGACGCTCACCTGGAACGCTTTACATGGTTGATGGCATCCATCGTCACAGCGATTGATCTTTGTCTCCCTCCAAATGAGGTTGATGATGTTCTCAAGGATACAATTTTCAAAGCTCTGCGTGGAGAAGAGCAAGACGACCAGCTTCGCAGTTCTTTGGATCTCCAGCTTCACAACAACATAGCCTCATGGAGATCCGTTGGCAATGCTCACCAGTTGCTCCCTACTATCCACCGAGTGGTAGCAGAAGCAAGGCTTGATCTTCTAGGAGAACAAGCCGTTCCACAACTCAACAGAGCGGAAAAGCGGGAGCTGATACAGTTTCTCCTATGGCTGCTTGGGGGGGAAAACCATAACTTCAACGCGATCTCGGCCACCATATACTCAGTTGCACATGGGATTCGTGCCGCCGGCATTCACCTATGCGTCGGAGAAAACTTATCTATGGCGGAACAACCGACAGTCCGGTATGCCAAAGGGGATATCCTGGAGCTATACGAGTTCTCAGCTCCTATCACAAATGATGTGCACATCGTTGCTGCCCAACAAAACTGCTTTCCGGTCGGTGAGCCTAAGCAGATGATTGAGGCACTGCCTGTATCACGTACGGTCCGCAATGTTATGACCAAATACTGGGACAAAGGAGCCGAGGCTGCTCGGAAAGTTCGCCTTACTGTCAATCCTTTCGACCCGGCCGAGGTCTCATATCACATCCAGAGCTTTGATGAGTGCACTCATCGATATGAAAGCGCTACGATGTTTCTGGCTGAGGCCGTGTTCCCGGTAGACTCTGCGGCCGCTTTAGATGCGCTTGAGAGTTTGGTAATGACTTTAAGGCCGGAAGTTGCGAGTTGGCTCCGGAAAGCAACTGAGACTAAGCCCACACTGGAGCAGTACAAAAGCCCAAGCGAGGAGCAGCTTGCTGCACTTTGTTATTACCAGTCAATTGTGTTCGGCTACTACTACCAACTCGTTAGCCTTGTAGTCGATATGTCCTTGGTCCAGGAGAAAACCTATCTTCGAGCACTGTGGGGTCTCCAAGACTGCACCATGCTCCGAAATTGTCATAACATTGCCCGGTGGTATAGAGACATGAGGGGAAATATGGCTGCTTTCATATCTCGACCATCTTTGCTTTACTTGTTGGCGGTAATGTTCGCAGCCCAAACTCCTACCACTCCTTCTATGCCGGACGATCCATTGGTAGCAATCATGGGGCCGATATCTGTCGTCTCGCGATCCTTACTCAACGTATATGAGTCGCCAGAGGAGATCTCAAAGATTGCTGTTGCTTCACTGCCTATTATAAACCTAATGGCAGACCAAAGCGCCGAGCTCTTTGCAGTGACCACAGCCAGTGTCCTCGAATATTCGCCCATCAACGAGTACCAAACTAAAGAACTTGTCATCGGAAATTTTCCTACCGATTGGACTATACACCCAGTGCTTTCAGCCGACAAGACGGGATTGTTCAACCGGGTCGCTCTGGCAGCGCGATGCGCGGGTGTTTTGATTGGCACAATTGCACCCGACTTGGCTGATGCGACACTTATCTGGCGCCACGCGTCGAGCTTGAAGCTAAGGTCGAGCCGCCTTTCCGCAGTTGATAGAAGTGCTCTCCAGCGGCAGCCACGTCCACAGCCTTTACGAGGTATCGAGGTCCTCGACTCGGATTTCCGGAAAGGGCTTTTGCCTCGGTCGATGTGGGAAGTCATCCTCGTACAGAGTTATGGAAGTGCGACAATGAGGTACGCAGCGGTAGCTTTCTACGGCAATGGGCTGAGATATCGCAACATCGCCAACCTGGAACGGCGAGGAGAAGGGAGAAATGCCATGGTCGTAGCGCCGGATAGTCTCGCACAGGTTTTGGATATTCGGACTTGGTATGACCTTCGAAAAACGATTATTATTGCTTAGCTGGGGATTCTTCTCTTTCTCTCTCTCTCTCTCTCTATATATATATATATATATATTCTATTTCTATTCAGAGATACATCTGTTATGTTTAAATGGTAGAAATAATTTTCACGTAACTAGGGTATAGTATTTCTCTTACGAACTGGCGCGTAAGAGGCATATTAGCTACTAGGTACGCTACAACTTATAAGATAAGTAAACTAAAGATATTATTAATAAAACGAAGGTAATAAGAATTATACTTAACTACCGCCGGATACTCTAGATATACTATACTCTACTCCTTTAATTACTAATTTAATTCCTAATCTGTTAGAACACTTAGGCATTTCTTAACATAAGACTTCATACACAATTGAAACCCTGTCATAAAAAACGACTGCTCTAATATAAGGCTTGCTATCTTCATACTCGAACATATCAATACCAAAGGTCCTAAAATCCTTGTAAACTACATCTGAGCTTCCACCGAAAACAGTGTTACTAGCGGTGCCGTCTCAATCTAGTTCAACACTGAGCTTAGAACCACCTCAAGAGCTTGAAATTCACTTCCGGCTCAATAGATTCTGGAATCTCTTACGACTATAATAAATAGACAATGGAGAAGAGGGAGTGTAGCTAGGATTTGGCTATTAAGATGATAATATCGCTTGACTGTTTTGTGTTAGCTAAATCCGGTACTGGACAAGTGCAGTGAGCTTTGAACTGACTATGTGTGTTGCTTTGGGAGTGAATTAGTGCTGGAGTATAATAGTGAGTTTCGGTATCGTTGTTATTAGGCCGCTTTCATTGGTAATTTGCATACTTCAAGATAGAGGTCTTGAACTACTACGAAGTCCTCAACGCACTTCCAGCGCTCCTGCTCATTATCCAAAGCCCTATTTCCTCATCCTTGACTGACACAAATGCCTGATTCCTACTATTCTGTGCTTTTTCCCACAGCTTCTCCATCGGAAACTCATCTTCATGAAACCTCCTTGCCTCAAAGAAATTATTGACGAGTTGCTGCCACCGCACTCGCAAGAACCCCTCGTAGCCGTCACCTTTGCCTTCTGTTTCCGTGTAGTCCGGATCCACTGCCCAAACCCACATATCATCCACGTTTCCTCGACTCGTCTCCAGAACCACTTCAGTGACCTCATAATCCACGACCAAGACCACATTCTTGAGTATTCCCTCAGGCAAGCCATCCCTGATCTCACGGAACTTTTTTCTCAGACTGCCAAACTTGACCTCATTCCCAACGTTACCCGGCCACTCCGCTGAATGCAACTGCCGCCACGCTTCAATAGTCTCTCCCATGCCGACCGCTCCGGTTGCGAAAAGCAACGCCGCACCAACCCTGCACATGCAGTCTTCCCTTCTCCGCTCATCAATCTCAGGATCGATGAAGATGGCGAACCCCCACGCCTTTCCTTTTTCCTCCTCCCATAATCTCTTGACCCACTCCTTGGCATTAGGCCTAGCAAGTGCAGTCTCAGCTTCTTGCTGCTGACGCATCTGCCATCTTTCATTGGCACGTCTCCAAAATTCCGCACATGCATTCTCGATTGCCGCCTCTTCATTTTCTTCGTACAACGGCTGTCTCACTCTTTTCAACCGCTCCGTCGTCTCGGTCCAATGATCCATGGAAACAGCTGAAAGCGCTTCGTGAGCTCGCGCAGCGGCAAACCCGTCGGGTGTGATGTCGAGCCAATAGCGGGTTCTGAGCAGTTCTAGTTCCGAGTCTGTCAATTCGACTGGCGTTTTCGCTGCTCGACGAAACAATGCCGATCTGCTAAGACAGGACGACGACACGATAGCCTTGGCTTTGTCATCGGGGTCAGGGAAATCAAGAATTCGATAGCGGTCTTTGGTGCTGAGCGATACGGCAATGGTTGGCGAATTTTCTAGATCGGAGATGATTTGGCTGAGAGAATCGAAGTTGTCAAGGTTACGGACCACGCGGCTAAATGCTTGTATGAGGTGGTCCATTTTGAGGAGATTAAAGTCTGATGATGAAGTTGTGGTCGGTAAGAGGATTCTGGGTATTTGTACCTTTGAGTAGCGCCGCTGATGACTCATTACTCCTTAAAACGAAAGACATGTCATCCCAAGCTCTTCCGATGCTTTTCCAACATCCATACAACAGGAATGTGACCCTCCTCTCTTGCAATATTGACAGCATTCTCATACTGAACGTCCCCAAAATCACCACTTGTGATGTCAGCTCCATTGTCCAGAAGCAGCTGAACCATATCGATCCTTCCCTGTCTTGCAGCTTCCTCCAAAACTGTCAATCCGAACATCGTACCTTGAACATTTACATCAGCTCCCTCTTCTAGAAGTCGGCGCGCAACATTCAAATTTGACTCGATTGCTGCAGCTTGGAGTGCTGTTACTCCCCCAAATCCGGCTGGTGCAGCGTTGATGTCGGCACCTTCTTTGAGTAATAGCTCAACAATATCCAGTTTCCCAATCTCTGAAGCCCGTTGTAAAGCGGTGCGGCCACCTACGTTGTCTACGAACTCATTGACATCCACTCCAGCTTCAAGGAAATGTCTAACCATTTCCAGCCCGCCCTCAACTGCGTAACACAGTATTGGCTCAGCTTTGCTAGTAGTTTCCTCTTCGTCAAATGACGCCCTAATGCCGAGGATTGATGGGTTTTCTCGCAAAATCAGTTGAACCATCTCCATGTCTCCAGCTTGGACCGCAATTTGCAATGGAGTGAATCCGTTTGTCAATCTGGCAAGGGAAATATTCCAGCATTTGGCCTCGTAGTTAAGGTCAATGTCCACGGGTGCACCCTTTGCGAGAAGCACCTTTAGAATCTCTTTGTCGCCGTTTGAACAAGCTTGCAATACGATTTTAAACGCGCATGGAGATGAAACTGGAAGACCTATCTCAACGAGACGCATAGCCGTATCATGGTCTTTGTTGACCATTGCAATCAGAAGCGATTTGTGTCCGAGACATGGATTGCGTTTGTAAGCAGGAAGCGCATGCATCAGTAATGCGCCCTGAAGAACCTGATCGATTCCATGGCGGTTTTTAGTCCATATATGGTCTTCCAAGCGTTTCAGTATATCGACGTAGGCGCCGTTTTTGAGGAGAAGATCAGTGAGGTACTGATCTTCTGATGCGATATTTTCTGGAACCCAGAATGGTTCTTCCGGTGAGTAACTCGAAAGCCCGCCCTCTTCAATCAGAAAAGACACGGTCATCAGCCTAAGGTCAATATCGTTTACCAGAAAAGGTGAGTGAACGGCACAGAAGACAGGCGTGTGACCATCATAGTCCAAAGCATGCAGGTCTGCTCCTTTTCCTATAATGTCGCGAAGTAAATGTATGTCTCCTCGCTCTGCGGCGACGTGAAAGGCAATTTTAACCGCGATAGATGAATTGAGAGACAGGAAGTATTGGAAGATAGCATAATCATTGGCCGTTCTCATGGCTTGAGAGAGTGATCCGTCCCGGTCAAAGTCGGTGTCGGCACCATTTTGTACGAGAAATTTGACCATGTTGAGTCGATTCTTGTCGTGTACCCCTGATACTGCTAACTGCAGTGCATTCTTCGTTGGTTGCGGCGAGATCATGTTCTCATTGGATGAGCTGTCAGGTTCGACATATGCATTGATGTCTACACCTCTCTCAAGAAGCAACGAAGCCATATTGTAGTTTCCATAATATGCTGCGACTTGCAAAGGAGAGAGTGCCGTTTCGTCAGGAACGCTTAGTCTTTCGGTACACGCGCCCCAGTCCAATAGCCATTTTCCGATATCATCCTCATGGTATTTTATAGCAAGACTCAGGGGTGAATTTCCGTACGGACCAGCGATGTTTGGACTGGCTCTCCTTTCGAGAAGAAGCTTTACTTTTTCAAAACATTTGGACTGGACAGCAAGATAGACTAAACCGTATCCATTTTTATCGAAAGAAATCACGTCGGTAGATTGAAAAGAGTCCAGAATAGCCCTTAGGATTGAGACATTGCTATTTCGAACAACATATCGAAGAGCAGGTATTCCAACGGAGGCAAGGAGGCTGATTGGCTCATAGGATTCGTCTGGTAAATTTGCATCGTCGGTATCGACAATCCTTGACCAATTGACTTTTGCGAGCATTCCGCGAATTATATTGATGTCTTCGCAATTTATAGCGGCCCACAACGCATCATGGAAATAGGCCGATTCGCTTGAAACGAAGCGTTGTCTCTCCCTCAGCTTTAGTTTACCGAACTCTTTAAAAGTAGGGTTACTAGAATAGCACAAAGCTCCAATGAAAGAGAAGACATTGTGACTTCTGTCCAGTAACGCCTGCAAGTCGTCGATAAAAGCAGTATCTGTTTCTATTATTGATTTGAGGGAGGATCTGGTCCAGTATGCCCCGAGTTCCAAGAGGATCCTGAGCATGCGAAAGTCTCTATGCCTGGCAGCAATTTCCAAAGGGTAAGTGTCTTCTAGGAGTCTGTCGTTTGGATCGATGGCTAGAACTTCAATCATGAACTTGACAAGTTCAGTGTTGCCTTCTGACAGCGCAGCTCGAAAGGTCTCTCGAACAATAGATTGAACATTTGCGTTGTCGCTACAAAGTAGCCTTTGGAGCTTTATTGAAAGCATTGGATTCTTGGCCATTGATGTCATCGCCTCCATAAGAACTTCTCCGAATTTCGGGTTTTCGTTGATGCGATTAGATGCGCAGAACACAAGGGAAAAAAGACGTTGGAGGACATTTGATGGCACATCCATGAGCCTTATTGCAAGAGCTGACTCTTGGGTTCCAAATGGCACGAGGGCCTTGAGTTGTGTCTCATATACCGAAGTTGAGTCCGCTTCAAACAACGAACGTCTGTCATTTGGTCCCAAAGATGTCGCAGTAAAGGGGACCAGCAGCCTTTTAAATATGTCAACTGCAGTGTCATCAGCAAAAAAATAAAATATAATCAGTAAGCTATACTGACTGTGTTCTACCACTGCACGTTGAAATCCAAGCCACGGAAGATTATGGATGACGATTGTTCCGGTAGTCTTGGGGGACAATACTGATAGGTGTGGCGGGGTTATAATTTGACATCCCTCAGGTGTCGGAGTTCGCAGTGCAAGCCGTGCTAAAGTATTCCGTCAATCCCAATTAGTAATATAAGTTGTGGGTAGGTATACCTCTTTTAGCACTTTCAAATGCAGTTTCAAAGTATCTTCCAGTCTCTTTCTTGATCTTGTCTGGCTGGACCAGCATCCCGCTTATTCTCACTTCGCTTTCCTTGTCTTCTTCACGCTTACGTTTCGAAATGCGGCGTTCGATTGTCAACCACTCGTCGCGCTTCAAGTTTTTGCGGACTTTCCATTTCTTGAGCCGAGATGAAAGCTGTTGAGGACTACGCCTTGGTTAGCAGGACATTGCAGATAGTACAGTTTGCCGGTGCTTACCTAGGCGTGAAAGAATGTTGCTGCTTCAGGGTGCCGATGACTTGTTGGAGTGGAAGGTCCTCTCCCAAATAGAGCCGAATGATCTCTTCTTTCAGTGATTCCCACTGTTGCTCCATGTTGGCAAGTTTGGGGGAAGAAAAACAGCATAGTAAAGCAACGCGCGCCTGGCTTTATGGGTTTTTGTAGCCGACATTGGGGCAAGGTTGAAGATTTACAACACCTTCAGGGGCATGAAACCATGTAGGAGAGTTTGTTGATTGGTGACTTACGCGACATCAGACAGAAGTGACGTACAGGTCGGAAAACTGATTGGTCCAAACCGGAATTTTGTTCGGCTGACATGGCTGCGGTATAGGGAACAGAGTGTGCCTCAGCCTTGCATGAAGTTCCAGTCACGCCGTGCTCAACCCTGCGCGTAAGCACGCTGCGAACGAAACAGGGGGTAGATGAGAGAAAAGAAAAACAGAAAAAAGCCGGAGCAAGTAGACTTTCCAATATGCAAATTCGTATGCATAGGTATCGAAGAGAGCAAGAAGACTACACTTTCAACTGATGCATCGATCAGCAAGCTTTCCGACGGCGGCTCACCCCCATGCAAAAATGTACCTCGAGCATAACCCCAAACCCACCCCAAAGCCAGTGCCATTTAAACCAAACAGCCTACCACTTCTCCCCCTCCTCCAGTCTAAACACACCATTCTTACGCCTCTCCGCCGCCCACCTATCACACCACGTCTTCATCTTCTCCCTACTCTTCGCACTGCCCACATTCACAGTCGGAACCACGCGCTCGATCCGCAACCCGCAACAAAACCTCGTCAGCTCCGCAAAGCTGCTATGCTCCGAATACGGCACCGCGAAGTAGGACGCCTGGCGCGTGCTCCCCCGCTGCGGCACCAGGTCCTTCATCGCGAAGCGCGAGCGCCACGCCGGCGCCCGCAGCACCGCCGACACCTGCGGGCTGTCTGTCTGCCGCCCCGCCGGCCCGCGGTACGACCACCCTGAGGGCCGGAAGCCAACCGCGCGCGCAAACGCCCCGCCTTGCGACGTCAGGTAGTCGGCGAGTGTGTCGCCGCGGATCTCGAACAGCGGCGTCATGTGCACTTGTGCGGCGCGGGGGTCGGTAGTCAATAGTTCCGAGAGCTCGGGGTCTTCGAGCATTGCGCAGATTCGCTGCTTGGCTGGTGGGGCGTAGATCTTACTGTTGAGCGCGCGGGCGATGCCTAGGCAGATGCGCTCTTTGCCAATGCTGTACGTGCCGACCACCACGAGGAGTTTGCCGCGAGCTGTCTCGGTGTCTGTCGTCGATGGCTCCGAATCCTTATGCACAAAGTTGACCATGCCTTTGCCTGCCCGTTCGCGCTTCATCTGCTCCCAGCTGTCCGTTTCGTCGATGCGTTCCTTGTTGAGGCTGACGCACATGTCTGCACATGCTTTGATGACATCTTCTTGGCTGGGGAACGCATACTTTGGGTCCAAGTACGTCGTATCGAGATAGCAAACGTCAATCTTTTGCTGTCGCGTTTTCCCCGATACCGCGTCCATGACATCCGGCCGGAGCAGCGGGTGCTCGATGTGGGCTCTGCATGCTCTGAAATCTCCACAGTGCAGTATTCGCTGCGTCTTCGGGTTCTTGCCACTTCCAATCGCCTTTTCGAAAAGGAAGAGCGAACTGCCAGGGCAGTGGTTTGCCGGAATCATCGTCACATTGGCTCCACCCGTACCTGGCACTTCCGTCTCCTGCTCCCAGTCGAGGGCGACCACCCACTTTGGATCCACGCGGAGCTGCTGGAGGACGAGATTTGCCGTGACTTTGCTGCAGTAGATGGGACCATGTTTCCATGACGCGGTAAGGCCGACGTAATGATCGCTGTGGAAGTGACTCAGGAAGTAGGCGTTGCAGCCTTTGACAGCTCCATACCGAAACGCATCGACGCAGATGAAGAAACCGGGTAGGATCTTGTAGAACGGGCAGGTCCGCTGGTATGATGGCTTCCCGCGGGCGGCGTGTTCTGCCGCTGCCGCATTGGCCCAAGCAGCGTCTTCGGCATGACCTGACATCAACTTGGTAAACGCCGAACCGGTAGAGCTCTCTCCCACAGTGAACGGATTCTTCTGTGCCGGTTTTGGTGGTCGTTGGAAACGATGGGGACTTGATGCTGTCGTAGCTTCTGCAGCATTGTTCGTGGGTAAAGGCGTAGGGTTTCCGTCCAAACAATTGTTGACATGAACCGATGCATCCTTTTCTGATATCCCGTCGAGGTTCGCGTTGCAAATCGGACAGATCGGTGCGTCAGTGACCATCGTTGTGCTACTCGCGCCCGGTTCGGCCTTCACATCATCTGCGTCAATATCCTCCAAATCAAACTCTGCCATCTCAAGTCTCTTCTGTTCTTGTGCCCACACCCTCGCATCTAGCTCTTCTCCCTCGTCAAACTCGTCAAAGTCTTCGATTCCTTCAAAATCAGCAAAGCCATCATCGGCAAAGCTGGTGGGTTCATGTTTTAGTGGCGGAGGATCCTTTGTTTCTAAGTGGTTGGAGTCTTCACCGACCTCTTCTGCTGAATTTGCTTCGTTCTTGAGCGGTGGCTCGGCATTTGTTTGCGACTGGCTCTTGGGTGACGATTTATGTAGTGGCGGCGTCTCATCCTCGCTGTCCGAATCCTCGAAAAAAGGGCCAGAAGGACGCTTAACTGATTTCTTTTCTTCCATAGGCTGGGTAACTTCTGGCGGCGGAGGGGAGCACGCCTTCTCCGGTTCCTTGGGGCTGTCCTCAGATGCATCGCTGATCTTCCTCCTCTTGTTGCTACCACTGCTCTCATTGAAGCGATCGTCCGCTATACCATCCTCGGAACCCTGCTTATCTTCCCAGCCTGCCGGCTCCTCTTCATCATCGTCAATCGTGATGCTCGCTGCAGCCCGTGCCTTGCCTCTATCCTCCAAAAAGAGTCCCGGATCATCGACGACCGGCCCGTCCGTTTTCTTGAAGAAGCTGAGTATGCTCGCATTCGGCTTGACTTTTGATCTCGGTATGCCGCCCTTGCTGCTCTTGCTGAAGTCGAGCTTCGTCTGTTTCGGTTTCTGAGACGATCGCCACGGTCTTGGAGTCATTGTCTTCGTAGCCATTGGCTTGGGCGCAGGAAGCGGGGGTTGCGCTTGAGCAGTTCGTGGGCTGGCGGCTGGTGGCGAAGGAGGACGGCCGACAGATGGAGCAAGTCGTTGCGACGGAGGCTTGTGGATGTTTTCGCGTGGGTTTCTGAACATGCTCTGCTCTCACTGGCTAATACATCACCAGAGGCAAGTGGGGAGTGGTCGGTGTGGAATGCAGGTCGGAGGTGGCGCGCGGAACGCTCGGACTTTCGGCGCGTGGACGCGTCGCGCGATCATGCTTTTCGATTTTGAGGCGTTTGGACGTCACCTGTGCTACAACAACATCATCACCCTCTAGCTGAAACGACAAGCTAGAAAGACCTTGGTTATGGTTCCTACATGACCACTCTTCAGGAAACACGACTGCTCACCATCAGAAACCGGGCGGACGAATGACATCTGCCGCGGCAATTCGGGCAAGAGGTCGTGTGCTCTGTTACTGAACACAGCTGACGTTGGAATCGCTTCAAATTGGCGATAAGTAATAAAAATGTATGTTGTAAGTCAGACCAATCAAGATTGCTCAAGCATCGCTTGATTGTTTTTCTATTGCGTCTCTTAGCTCGTCACACGTTCTATTTTAAGTCATACCGTTCCTCTTATTCCGTCTGCAAACATTTCATTCTTCATCCATATCTCATCACGTGACAACACTCCACAGGGCCTTGTGGAACTCGATCACCAAGGCTGAGAGAAACGCTTGATCAATGGGTACTCAGCTGAATGACGCAACGACTCGAACACCAAGAGAGGTGACGGGAGTAGCGTCTAGTACGAAAAGTCTGCCGTCTAAAGACCGCCTCAAAAGGATGCCTACCGCCAGAGGAGCCTGATCTCTCCTGATTCTACCAAACGACCCTATCCCAAGGCGATGAGGCTCCGATAAGCAGTGGGGAGGCATCATGAGACTAACATGGAAGACTTTTTCCAATGTAACCCTGTACCACTAGATATCCCGGCCATTCTGGATATCCCGGGCGCTATCAGCGTGATCCAACAAGCCCCACAAACTAGCACTGCTAGGCTGCGTTTGTTCCGGCCGCAAAAAAGCAATCGGGAACAGAACCAGCCGACGTGACTGCTCACTTTCAAATCTTCAGGATAGCTTCTAGTGGCCGTTGAGATGTCATGCCGACGACATCGACGCAACACACAAGCTCAACGGCTTGGCTACCGCCTGGGCAACGCCTTGGTTGCGCCAACGTATCCGACGGCATGGCTTGATGCAAGCAATCGATTGGGCGCCGGCGCGGCGTCTTGGTCGCAGGCTTGTACGCGTGGTGGCGGTCTTGGAACACAAGGATGCGTCACGGCTGCCGAAATATGCTTCATTACGGTGTGGCTTTGAAACCAGACTCGTCAGCGTGAGCTGAAGATCGCAATGAGGGTGTTGCGGCGGCGCGGAGGGCATCAACCCCGCAAATGGAACTGACGGGCACACGTGCTCTGATCTGTCGCTGAGACTGGCTCGGAAGTGCCCCGGGGGGGCGCCCGCTGAGCCGTTCCAGTTACCGTGCGCTTGTTTTATTATATGGGGTATGTTCCGCCGCGGTCCCTTAACCTGACGGCCGCTACTCTGTATCAAGCGGGACGGCCGTGCCCGAGCATTGCACTGCATTGGACCCAGGACAGTCGAATGTTTTGCCGGAAGGAAGTTGGGTCCCGGAATGGAGCCACAGATGTTGCGGCACTGCAAAGCTGAGGCCGAAGATTTTCAGCACCAATGCAGAGAGACATGCATCGAGTGGATACGGGAGACCGCATGCGGCGGCGGCAGATACCAGGGGTTTGAAGATCCTGGGGCGGGGTTGGGACAGGCTCGACAAGCTGAGACGTGAGGCGAACGACCATCCACGATCCAGCAATAGCGCAGCAGCCACGGGCTGGAGCGCAGCAGTTCCAGACGGGCGACGTTCGTGCGGGCGACAATAGTGCACGTAGTACCTACTGTTAGTGTAGAGAATGGGGCGGACGATAGTAGAGGATGGGGCGCGCGCGCGGACGGCAAAAGGACGAAAAACGCAAGGACCCTGCAGGCGGTGCGGGTTGCGGGCAGTGGCGGCTCCGGGCCTGGCCTGCTCGCTCTCGAATCTCAACGACAAGCGAGACCACGTTCGACGGCGCACGTCGCTGATTGGTCGGTCGAGGCTTCGCGAAAAAAACCAGCGCGATTGCCAAAGCGGAACATCCAGCGATCCTGCTCCACACACCCTCGGTCCTTTGGACACCTCTCCCCGTTCTAACATGGCTCGGCATGGATCGAGCCACCGAGCCTCGTGCTCGGCGCGTTGGCGTGCAGGCCTGACGTTGCTTGGGCCGCGCTGTCGCGTGCTCTTTTAACTGCTTCTTGCCTCGCACTTTTGCCTACCTTCTTCAGACCTCTTCCGCGCTTTAAATACCCTGCGTAATCGCCCGACGCTTTCGGTCAACGCCGCTAGCCATTACCACTCCTACACCGACTTCTCAACGTCGCCTCTTTTTCCCACTGTCTGCTCAATAATCTGAATTCGCAGCGAGTGCGCAGGCACACGCGCCATCATGGCTGATTCTATCCGCGACTACGGCCTCGCGGCCCCCCATGGCCCTAACATGAACTCGGAGCATGTGGCCACCGCCGACTTTACCCAAATGGACCCCAAGGAGAAGGGAGTTTTTGATTTCCTCCTCCGCCCTTCCGACAGCTACGACGCAAATGGCACCTACTGGGCCGACATGCCTCTGCGCCAGAGGATAAGATTCGTCGGTGGCATTGACTCGGCCGAGGCCAAAGAAGAAACCAATCATTTTTGGACCATGTTCAAGGAGAGCGGCGCACGCTGGACGGGCGTCCTCGCTCCGGTCGGCTGGATCGTAGGAGCGCACACCTTGTTCTACTACTACTTCAAGAACTGCATTATCCCGGGCATGGGTCTGTTGCTGGAGGGGTAAGAAAAAACCCCGCCCTCCTTTCGTGCTCCGCTAACTTTTTTAGATACGTCCTTTTCTCCATTGGTAACGTCAGACCGATCCTCGAGGCCGCCTTCAAAACTTGCTGGAAAACGTATGCGATCTGCAATAAGACGTGGCTTCAGGCCATTGATTACCTTGAGATTTGTGGTATCATCGTTGGTGAGTATCGCTATGACGCATGCCAAGAATGAGGCTAACAACGCAACAGGCCAGATCCTTGTCGGTATCGTCGGCGACTGGCTCGGCCGCCGCTGGGGTCTCATTCAAGATGCTGTTATCATGTTTGTCGGATTGCTCATGCTCACCGCCGCCTGGGGATTGACCCAGAACGGCTGGATTATCTGTTATGTGTGGTCGCTCTTCTTCTACGGCATCGGCGTCGGCGGCGAGTACCCCATGACTGCCACTTCCGGTATGGAGAACGCCGTTGGTGCCGGTAAGGTGTCGACCAAGGAGGACAGGCTTCACCGTGGTCGCAAGGTCACCAGCGCCTTCTTGATGCAAGGTTGGGGTCAATTCGTCAACGTCGTTATCCTCATGGTCCTACTGCGCATCACCCACGGCTACGGCGGACCTCCCTACTCGGAGAAGGCTGCCCAATGGACGTACCGCGTCAGTTTCTTCATTCCTGCCATCGGCACGGGCTGGCTCGTCTACTACCGTGCCTTCCGCATGAAGTCTGCCAGCAAGCAACTTGCCGTTGCCAAGAAGAAGCAGCACGTTACCGGTTACGACACTCAGTCTCTTCGCCTCACGTTCAGCTACTTTGGCCCTCGTCTTATTGCCACCGCCGGTGCTTGGTTTGCCAATGACGTCTTCTTCTACGGCAACAAGCTCTTCCAGAGCGAATTCATTAGCGTCATCACCCCCGGCAACAAGGACGTCATGATCACCTGGGACTACTCGCTCATCAACGTCGGTGTCAGTCTCGTCGGATACTACATGGCCTCGTTCTTCATCGACAACAAGCTCTACGGACGCAAGTGGATGATGATTGTCGGCTTCATGCTTGACTTTATCCTCTTCATCATCCCCGCCTTCAACTACGAGTACTACACCTCTCCAGCGGGCGTTCACCAGTTCCAGACCATGTACTTCCTCTCCTCGTTCTTCAACCAGTTTGGTCCCAACTCGGTCACGTTCCTTGTCGCTGCCGAGGTCTTCCCCACGCCCATTCGCGCCACCGCTCACGGTTTCTCCGCCGCCGCCGGCAAGCTCGGCGCTTTGACCGCTGCCGTCCTGTACAACTACATCGACACGCAGACCAAGTTCTACGTCGTGCCATGGTTCGGTCTCGCCGGTGCCATCTTGACTCTTCTGTTCCTGCCCGACACGACCGGTCTTGATCTCAAAGAGCAAGAACGCCGGTGGACGTACATCCGCGCTGGCCGCGAGAACGACTACCACGGTATCGCCCTTCACTGGAAGCACCTCTCCTGGTGGGAGCGTTTCCGGGGCGTGCACAAGGGCTACAACGCCGATCTCGACTACCAGGCCAAGGTTGAGGAGATGCGCGGTGACTGGGAGGAGTGGCAGCAGCGCAAGATGTCGGAAGAGCTCAAGGGCGAGTACGCGCAAGACGAAGATGAGTACTCGGAGGAGATTTCGAGCTACTTCACGCGCACGGCGCGGTCAACGCCGATGCCAACGCCGCAGATCTCGACGTTGGAGAAGTCACGAGGCGTGCCGCAGCCGACCGAGGAGGCGTCGGGCAGCGGGAGCGACGAAAAGCTTCAGATCTGAGGCAGTGTGTGTGTGCTTTAGTAATGACTGTCATGGGACACGAAGGGCAACGGGGATAGACAAAACTTGATACCAAGATATTTAATAGCAAAGTTTTTCCGCATCAACATGTCTACGTCAACAGCCAAGCGCGACCCGACACAGCCGCAGCCCCTGATAGTGCGTAGGGTCAAGGTGTTGGAGCAAATCTCCGCCAGCCAGGGTCCGGCCCGCGATGCGGCCCTGAAACCAACGGTAATCGGCCAATCACGGCGTCGACGGCCCCCGTTTGGACCGCGCTGAAACGCAGCCCTACAATCTCCTGCTCGCCGATCCCCGCACCCTCGTACTTATCCCCCTCGTCTCGCTCGAACTGATATCTCTTTTTTTCTTTTCCTTCTTCACCTTGTCGTGACTGTCTCTCTCTCCATCACCACCCCGTCGTCAAGTCGCCATTCTTTCGTGCTCCTAGCTGGACTACTGTCTTTTAAACCCAATCTCCATCTTTCCCGGCCGAAAGCACTTACACTCATTCAATATGCGCTACTCCAACGCCATCCTCCTCCTCTCCGCCGTCGCGGCCACCACCGTCGTCGCCCAGAACCCCCTCGACTTCGACGCCGACACCATGCCCCAGGGCCAGGCCGACTACACGCCCACGCGTCAGCCCGCTGCCGCCACCTCGGCCGCCTCTTCCTCTGACGACTCCAGCAGCGGTGGCTTCGCTGCCCTCGCCGACCCCGTCGTCCAGAGCGCGGCTGGTGACGCCTCCTCGGCCGTCGGCGACGCCACCTCCGCTGCCGGTGGTGCCGTCAAGACCGCGACCAAGGCCGCCGGCGACGCCGCCAAGACCGTCACCTCGGCCGCCGACGACACCATCGCCTCGGCCACCAAGGCTGCTGGCGATGCCGCCAAGTCTGCTGGCGTCGACGTCAGCTCCGCCACCGCTGCCATCGGCTCCGCCGTCAAGACCGCCACGGGCGCTGTTGGCTCCGCCGCCTCGGCCGCCAGCACCATGGCCACCGCGGCCAAGAGCTCCGGCGCCGCTTCCTCGGGCGCTGCCTCCTCTGGCGCCGCCTCCTCGGGCTCCAAGGCCTCCGCCACGGCCTCCTCTTCCGGCTCGTCGAGCTCCAGCTCCAGCTCCAGCTCTGCCAGCGCCGCTGCCTCGTCTGGCGCTGCCGGCGTCGTCTCCTCCAGCGCCGGCCTGCTCTCCACCTCGGTTCTGGGTGTCGTTGGCTGGTTCCTTGCTGCGCTGTAAGCGGCGTAACGAAGGCAACTCCTTTCTCCACCATCACCACCACCATGCTTCGTTCGTACATACACCTTTTTAAGCGCCCACATCCGCTGCTGTGCGGGGCGAGGGGAGGGGCCGCGTAATGCATTGTTGTTTTCTGTTGTTGTCACCTTACTGTTGCTTCTTGCTCGCTTCTCTGCCCGTCCCGACCGTGTTTGTTCACCCTGCTCGTGCAGAACCGCGGGCGGCGCACCTCTTTTTTCTCCTCCCTTTCTCGCCGTTTCTTCATTTCTCATGTACGCTTGCACGCACGCCCCAATGCCACTACCCACATTTACGCTCGCGCTCGATACCTCTTCTTTTTCTTTGCTTCGCTTCTGCCGTCGGTGCGCATCGACCGCTACGGGAAGGCCGGGTTCCTGTCGATACCTCAGAGCCCTCCTAGTTACCTTTTTCAATGTATAGTACCTACTGCAGCTACGCCAGCAGCCAGCAAGCCACGGCAAGCTGCCTGCGGGCGTAGCTGCACCAACCCATCACCCAGCTAAAATGACCTGAATCACACACCATCCTGCCCCCTCTTATCGTGAGCGCGTGGAAGTTGAAACAACATGCAATAAGAAAGAAATGAACCATTAGAAAAAGAAAACTTAAAAAATGAAAAATCAAAGGTAAAAGAAAAAAGCAAAAAACCCTCCCTCTATACGACCCTGCAGCAATCACAGCAATCACACACACACTCCCACCCCCAACTCCCCAACCCTTCCTCACAAGCATTGTAATCCGCACGTAGCCTGTAATCCGCACACAAGCATACAGGCACACTTCCACTGCGCAGCCCCAGACCCAGTGCAACCCAACCCACCCACCCACCTACCTCGTATTCCGCCCGCACCGCTCCGCGCCGTGCCGCCTCGCGAGCCCATGCCTTCATGTCCAAGGCCCCCAGCGCCAGGGTCAGCGGCGGCGGCCCCCGGCCCCCACACCCTTCGATTCTTTCTTTTCTGCGAACGCAAAGCGGAAGGCGGAAGCGAGCGGGTGAACTCGTCCAACGTCCGTTTCCCAACGCTGTCAGCTCAGCAGCACCTGCCATTGCCAAGGCTCGCGACGCCGACGCTGCGCAACGCCCCCACGCGCTTAGTAAGGTCGTAAGTCATTCTGCTGCGTGGTGGCTGTGGGTGGAGTGGTGGATTACACATCCATGCATCCTCCATCCCTCATCCATCCAGCCAGCTGCCTTGCGCCTGGCCTGCTCAGAGAAAACGTCAAGTTCGTTCCCACGCCGTCGTTGTCGTGTTATTGTAGTGGTGATGATGATGATGGTGTCCACTCCGTCCCACGGCCGTCGTCGCGATTGAGTGCGCGAGGCTTGGCTGGCTAGTGGCTAGCTAGGTACTTTAACCGTGGCCGTCGCCGTGGCTGTGTATCCTGCGGGAAGGGAGGCGGCGTGGCTGTGTGCTTATATCACGAACCCACTAAACCTACCTAAGGTACCCTACCTCCAGTCAGCTCGGGCAAACAAACACCACAAACGCCATGTCTCTCGTCATTCGCCTCGCTAGGTCTTGCTCTCTCGTGGGAAGATGGAAGCAAGGAGGGAAAAAAGGGATGCGCCCGCCGCCCGCCCACGCCGCCGTCTACCGCCTTGTCCGACCGCCCTTGCTCCGGTTGCGGGCGGAGCTGACGACAGGGCCCTCGAGCTTGACGAAACTCACCGTCCAGTGTGTTAGTGTTCAGCACTTTCGCATCGTGGCATTTCACATGGCTGAAGTCCCCTTTTCGAGATCCCTTTTCTTCAAAAAACTAGGTGTGTATGGATTTGGTACGCTACTCCGCAGTCGCCCGCCCGCTCGCCCGCACGCATGCACGCACGCACATGCATCCGCCTCTCGCATGCCTACGCGCAGAGAGAGAAGAAACAAAAAACAAAAAACAAACATCAAAAAACAAAAAGATCTACCGAGTACAAGGGTATAACGTGTCCAGCGCAACTGTGAGCCCAGCTGTTCGGGGGCGCCCCGTGTCGGAACCGAAACAGCTTAAAGAACAGAGACGGAAAAGAAATCGAAAAGAAATTAATTCGTCGCGCTTCCTAGCCACCACCACCACCACCACCACCACCACCACCACATCGCCGCCGAGAAAAGATGCAAGCGTCGCGTGCTGCGCCGGAACGCTGACGAGAGAATCGAACGTTGCGAGAAGACGAATGACGTATGTCCGCCAGGTGCACTCTGTTGCCTGTCGTGCTGGCCGCCTCTACCATCAAGGAAGCCGGAAAAAGACATAGGGGAAGAAAGGGGAGGGAGAGTGTGGGAAAAAACAACAAACGACACGCAAGACAAGCAATTTGGTATCTCGAAGGGGGGAAACCGTCGTCGGACTCCAGACGCGCAGCAGAACAACATTCGGCTGAACTCGGAAGAATGATACGGATGAAGGAAAAGTATTATGACTCTTTCGCAGGGGCAACTGACACAAGGAAATGGGTGTAGAGTCCGAAATGCGCCGCAAATGTACGAGAGGACGGATGAAGGAGTGTAGCTCTCAATGGTTGGTCAGTTTCGAAATTAATGCTTGGTGACAATGTTTCCGGAGGAGTCCATGTTGCCGGTGAGTTCGGCGACACGGGCCTTGATGCGGGCGACGCGGTTCTCGATGGTCTCCTCGCCGCTCGTCTCGCCGTCGTCGGTCCTCTGGCTCTGGCTCTCGCTGCGACGAGGCCTGGTCATTTGCTGCTCATCGCTCATGCGCGCCGCGCGAGCGGCCGCGTTCTGACGGATCTGAGCCCAGCGATCCGAAGTAGGCGACTGTTGTGCCGCCAGGTCGATCGACGCCTCAGACTGGTCATCGGGCGAGACATCGGCGGAAACTTCCTCGCTGCGGGTGGGTTGAAGGGCAGCCGCGGCCCGGGTGTTGAAGTTCCGGGGAGGAGCCGGAGCCTGAGCCTGGGGAGCCTCCTCGAATTCATCATCATCCTCGTCATCCGTGTCTTCGGGGACGAAGGCAGGGACATCATCGAGCGGGCCTTGATCGAAACGCGAGAATTGCTCGTCAGCCTCCCGCTGCTCGTTGGTGTTGATGCTGCTGGGAACGGGCTGGCGCTCCGAGGGCGCGGGAGCTTCAACCGCGAGCGCGGTGACCTCTGGCTTCTTACGGTTGGAAAGGCGACGAAGGAGGCCGGGCTGTTCAGGGACGGTGAGGCCACCCTGTGCAGGCTGGTGGGCCTGTTCAGGCTGGGAGACTTGTTCAGGTTGGGCATGCTGTTCGGTCGGCTCAGGGGTAGCGGAACGGCTTGAGGATTCACCCTTCTTCTTGCCAAAAAACTTCTTGAATCCGCCATGGCTGGCAGCAGGCTTCTTGAGCTTCTTTGGCTCCTTCTTGGCCTCGGGGCTTGGCGGAGACTTTTGAGCGTTCTGCTGCTCGAACATCTTCCTCCGCTCTGACACCGGACCAGAGACCTTTCTGTCATTGGCAGGCTTCCGGAGAGCAGGATGCACATCGTTTTCTGGATGTGGCTTCTCGGCCTCGGTTTGAGGTGGGAGAGGGACCTTGGCAGCTTCCTCAACAGGGACCTGAGGGGTGACGGGTGATCCGACGGCCTTGCGTTGCACTTGCTTGGGAGTCGACGGCTCGTCCTTGGGCAGAGGCGGGAGGTCTTGTTTGTGAGTAGACATGGTGCCGTTGGACTTGGCAGATGGAGCCGTCGGGCTGCTCACAGAAAGATTCTCTTTAGACATGCCCTTGCCGGCAAAGTTGTCGCCCAAGTACTGCGCACGAATGACTTCTTTGTCGAACTGCTTAGCCCACTTCATGGCGGGACCGGCTTCGTTCATGACCATTGGTTGAAGAGTCATGACGCTTTGAGTCTTGGTGGATAGGTCCTCGGTCCTGCCACGACGTTGAGCCGCTTCGGCAGCTGCTTGGTCCTTTTGTTCCCTTGCAAGGCGCGTTGCGGCCGCGTGGATCCTGGCGTGCTGGTCGGGTCCGATGCTGGCCTTGCTCATGGGAGTGTCTGTCTGCGTCCTGTCGTATGGCTCGGGGACCGGGAGCTTCTTGTTTTCAGACTTCTTACGACCCATACGACCGCGCTTGGTGAAGCTGAACTTGCTCTTCTTTTCCACAATGTAGGCGCCTTCTTCGGGTCCGGGGCCTGCGCCCTTGACCTGCTCTTCCATGACGAGCCATTTGCCGCCGGCAATTCTGGTCTCAATCAATGCGCAGCGACCAAAGACACCTTTACGTCCATTCGGCTCTTCTCCAGCCAAGCTGGTCATCCAAACCCACCAGAAGGTTTCATCGAGCTCGAATTGAGTGATGCTGGCCAGCTCTCCGGGCTCCAGGCCATTTTCTTCGGTGTTCCGCAAATGCGACTGCGAGCTATGCACACGGGTGAGATCACCAATCGGAGGAAGGATCTTGTCCGGCGGAAGAAGCACGGGAGGTGGGGCGCTACGACCATCATCCACAAAGCCGGTAGACAAAAAGTCAGCCCACGACGGAGTGGTGGGTCGCCCCATGTCGGCCCGCGAGCGGGGCGCGGATTTCAATCCTTCTCTGGTATGAGTAGGCGTTAGGTTAGTGGGGCTGGTGGGTTCGGAGGCCAGTCCATCCAGGAACCCGAAGCCTAGATCCTCGAAGCGCGACCAAGACGGGTCCGTGGTACCGTCGGCGTTGCTAGATTGATTAATTGAGGAAATGGCGTTGAGAACTCGACAACACTCGTCAGTAAGAGCCTGAATAGGGTCTTCATATGTGGAAAACCGCTGAAGAGCTTCGTCGTCTTCCCTATACTCAAAGTTTCTCGCACGACGCAAGAGAGCGAATGGCGTCGGAGACACCGAGTTAACAATCATGACAACTTTGGTGGTTCTCGTCTGCATCAAAGACGGAGGTTCGGGGGGATATTCCGTCTGTGACACGAGAGCCTGGAGGGAACGGGGAAGGGTATCAATGCCGACCATACCCTTGCTATCGGGAGCGAGACAGCGAAGGTAGGCAAAGAACAAATGACTCGTTGCATCGGCGGCACTGGAAAGTTAGATTAGGTCACAATATACGGGCAGCAGTAGACATACCTCGCCCATGACTTGTATCCTCCATCGAAACCATTTCCAGTGTCGGTATGCTCAAAAGCCCACCAACCGGCCATTCTCGAGAGTTTACGACCGCCGAGACCGTTTGTCTTGCCGCGCGCGGCGATCGCGGCTAGAAGATCGAAGAAATCGGTTATGATCTGCTTGCGCGACTCCGAATCCACGCTCAGCGGGATAAAGGTGTCAAAGGCATGCTTGGCCATTCCGGAGTCTTGACTGTCAGCGAGGAACATCTTTGCGTAGAATCAACCTCTTACCCTGCTCTCCAACCCTAAAAAGCTCGTACGCCTCCCAAGTGACGACGCCCCCTGGCAACCTACTCCAGCACCATTTCATGATGCTACAGAGGACCTGCGATTGTTAGGCCACAATTGGCAATTTGCGATCGGAGATACGCACCATCGGCTCAGTCAAGCGCAGCTCGGACTGGAGGCGTTGACCACGGTATGCCGTTCCACCCTCATAGCTATCCTTGAAGAAACTCTTTATGAAACTACGAGCGGTTGCCGAGTCTGATCCAGGGCGGAAGGGTAACAAAAGGAAGGGCGTATCCAGCGCTGGCGAAGGGTTAGTCGGGGCCCGACTGGAGGTGGTTCCTGGTGGAGCGACGACGTACCTCTCGACTTGAGTTCTTGAGTACAGATGTGTATGAGTTCCTGGACCTCCTCGGGCGCAACCTCTGTGCGCGACCAAGCCTCCTCCCAGCGCGGCTTCGGAGGCGCGACCGCATCACCGTTTGTGTTTTGAGCATGCTTCTTGGAGGCCTTGGAGCCATCCTTGGGCTTGAAGACCTTTGAGAAGAACGGCATTGTTGCGACGAGGATCTACGACTGGTCGAGGCGCATCGGCAGTAGGGGCAGAGGGCGCCGTGCGCGAAAGTGGTGGCGAAGGGTTTGCAGGCCGGAGGGGGGCGAGGGCGAGGGCGAGTAGAAGTCGAGCAGATTGACGAATGGACCCTGCGGAGGTCTGGGAGGTGGTCGCAGCTCCGGGAAGCGGTGCGTGGGACAGGAGTTCGGGCGCGCGTGTCTGAGGTCACGGCGGAAGAGAACGCGGATCGCCAGGTGGTGCGAAGAAAGGTGGGAGGCACGGGAGAGAGGTGGGCGGACGCAAGACGGCGCGTCCGGACTTTAATTTTAAGGAGTCCTCGTCGGTATCAGGATGAGCTATTCGCACCCCCATGTCCGCAGCTGGACTTCTCAGCGTGCCAACGCAACAGTCCCGACCAAACTCGCCACCCGAGGATCGCTCTGCGCCGTCTGAATGGAGGATGGTGTTGGCCATAAACCTGCCTTGCTGCCACTTGAAACGCCTGTCTGCTGCAACCCCAGCCCAGCTGCGCTCGTCCTACCTACGCGACCCGCGACGAGCCCGTTCCGCCACGTCCGCCTGCTCGACTCCCCCCGACTCCAGCCTCCTCGTTGCCCGCTTGCGTCTAAATTCCCCATGTGCTGGTTTGAGAGATCGACCGCGGGTGACCAGAGCTAGGGTGACGAAGCTAGGGTCCTTGGACGGGAGCTGCCTCTTAGGGCCCGCTAACTTTAAACATGGCCAACTGACTTCATCCCAATACTTGTAAATAACTAGCTCGAGCCCTCTCAAATTTCGGGTTCCCACGACAATTCGACTCGAGCTAATTGGCTCTTTCTTGGCGGCTCTTCCAGCATCCCAGCCCCTCCTGCATCTTTCCGCGCTTCCGATTCCCAATGCTCCTGCTCCTCCGGCAAGCCGCACGGCACGTGATTCCATCCGCATCCAGCTGCTGTGCCAGAGTCCATGTCGTCATACATTCTCGAGTCCCATCCACCCCTCGTTTCAGACTCATTTCCGGTGCTTCTCATTATCTCAACCTTAGATCAAACTTCAGCAGCACGTCACGCAACATGGTCAAAGATACCGAGACTGTTATCCAGTGGGTTTCATCTTGCTGCGATAGGTAGTGTAGTACAAGCTGACCGTTTAGGGAGTTCAACGAGCTCGTCAACATGACCCCTCGTGAGCTACAAGATTGGCTGGGAAGTGAGGAATCCGCAGGTGCGGGCTGGAGCAAAGATGACGGATCCGGCGAGACCATTGGGCATGAAAGGTATATAACCAAGGAGACTCTGCCGTGCGAATAGCTAACCATCATTAGCGGACGCAAAATCATCAAAATCTTGGAAAAGAACCCGAAGAAGGACCCAGAGCAATATGACGAGGATGACATTGCTCACATGAGAAAAGTCGTCTCATACTGCAAGCGTCACTTGGCGCAGGAAGAAAAGGCAAAACAAGATACGGACAGCAAGTCATATAAGTGAGTGGACGCATGAGTTTTGGTGTTTGTCTAACAGGGTACAGGAGCTTGAAGAACTGGGGACACGACGCTCAGAAGACGTAGTTGGTTAATAGTCGCCCGAGGGTAGCCCTGTGTCTCTAAGCACATGCTGGTATCGCAACATCGCGCCTATTTAGGCTAACTATCGGAACGTGTTTTGTCGTACAGACTGTCCGTCGAGAAAAACAGTGATCGGAAAGGAATGTCCATACCAGATTGCGGATGTACAAGAGCGTTGGAAAATCTCATGAGGGTACGAAGATGCGACGATGAGAGGGAGAGAGATTCCTATCGGCCATACGATGAGCAAAACGGTCGGCATAGGGGGATATCCGGGCCTGTCGTGAATGCCGATCGACCAACTTGGATGTGAGGCTGTCAATGAGACACAAAAAAACATCAATATTTTCCGCAGCTGTTGGACCGCAGACCGCAGCAGTTGGGTCGCGTCCAATTGACCGGTCTGCAAAAATAGCGGTTCCCATTGTCCGGCTAATAACATTCCTCCGCATCCTTTCCATCATCTATGAAGTACAACCGGGTCGGCCTGTAACGTAGGACCAGAAACGCACTGCCACAGCTGTTTCGTGTAGCCGCTTGAGTCCATCGCCTGAAACATGCACGCTGCGAATCGGAAACGGACGAGGACTATGGAGGTGGCGCATGAGTTGCCTCGTCTCGGATCTAGGCACGACGGGTGCGGCTCGGCTCGAGCAGTATCGACAAGAGGAATTGATGATGCTTATCCCACGTGAAGGCGGTTTCTATTTGCGGATCTTCCATGTAGAAAGTAGAGTGCCTCGTGAAGTCGCACGTCTTCCGGAGAATACTACGGTATGATCCTGACGAAGCAAGCCCATCTCGATCGGCTCGTACTCGGCAATCTTGAATGGCAGAGTTGACCGGTGATGTAGGTGATGGTGGTGTGCAGGTGGTGCCAAAAATAGCACATGCAAGCTCTAAGCGCCAGCCGTGCCGCATGCTGGAGTTCAGCCACAACCGTGGAGAACTGGGTTCTGAATCGTCCCCCACGACGCATCGTTCCTTCCCGTGCGATCTTATCGAGCCTGCCCGCAGGAGCCTGCAGATGGAGTGCAGTGCAGATATGGGTACGTCACTGGGCCAGCCGTTCTGGCCCCGACATGACCTCAAGGTGAAGGTAGGGGATCGTCATGGAGCCCGCCAGTAGACGGAAAACGCGTTCCTGCATAAAGAGCGTCTTCTGGGGGTTGTTTGATCAAACATGGTCGTGAGGAGAAAAAGGTAGGCACGGTAGGTCTGCACGTGGCCGCGGACAAGGGAGATGAAGGAGGATCAGCCCCACGTCGCGCTTGGCGGCATAAGCACGGGATGAGGATGCTCCGGCTCTCAGGGGAGAGTGGAAGAGAGCAGACAAAGCCAAGCTGAAATGATGATGGACGTAAGCGAGCAGGCTCTGCGTGGCTGACGACGCGATCGAAAGAAAAGAGGTCGCGCATGCAGTGAGGAAATCAATAGACCATAGCCACTAAATGAGCCGGTTTGGGCGGGTGCATGCGGGCTAAATGTCACTGGGCGGGCCGGCGAATCAGGGCGCGCGACCGTACCCACCGCGGGCTCCCGAGTTATAATTAGCAGCACTTTCCCTCTACCCTCGAGCAACGGTCATTGCTGAACAGTCGTCGAGAGCCGCATCCCACTGCCTTCTCTGCCCTCGCCCACCCACGCCGCCGCACGTACATAACGACCCCCATTGTCGCCGCCAACGCCTGCTCTCGGCACCGTGCGCCTCACCCGAATCCTGCGACAACAAAGCCAGTCCCTAGCACCTGTCCAACTGCCTGCGCCCGCGCGCCTCCCACCCATCCATATATGCGCTCTACCTGAAGCGCAACACGTCAACCATGGGTCGCAGAAAGATCGAGATCAAGGCCATCAAGGACGACCGGAACCGCTCCGTGTAGGTTTTCTTCTTTGTGGCGACTGCTGTCAGCCAGCTCCGTTTCACCGTCAGACACTGATCGCCCGACCCAGCACCTTTCTCAAGCGCAAAGGCGGTCTTTTTAAAAAGGCGCATGAACTGTCCGTCCTGTGTTCCGTCGATGTCGCCGTCATCATCTTCGGCCACAACAAAAAACTTTACGAGTTTTCGTCCGGTGACATCAACGAGACCATCGGTCGCTACCAATACGTACGAGAACACCAGCCATGCCCCTCTGGTGAATGCGCTAACCCCGTCGCGCAGTATGGAGGAGCGCACGAGCACAAAGGCCCGGAAGACTTTATGGGCAAGAACGAGGACGACGACGAGGACGAAATGGGCGCGTCGCCGGCGCCAGGCTCCCGCTCGCCGCCGGAACACCAAATGATGATGCCTCACCACCTGCAAAACCAGCAATTCCAACACATTCAGCGCCATGCGACCCCGTCCGCTTCCCCTCCTATCAACGGCATGCCCTTCCAGCACAGGCACGCTTCCCCACAGCCCGCCCACATTTCGCGCCCCAGTTCCGCCGCGCACATTCGCAGGACAAGCTCGAATCTCGCTCCTCCCCAAGCATATTCTCAGCCCCAGAGCAACTATGCATACAGACCCAATCCGCCTTTTTACCCTGGGCCTCATGGCATGCCGCAACAAGCCCCTCCCCCGCATGCGCACGCCCACCAGCACACGTATCCCCCGCCCGCCCACAGTCAAGTCCAGCAAGTCTACATGCAAGATCAGCGCAGACAGTCGATGCCTCCCGTCTTTTCGCAACCCCCGCAGGAACCTGTTCAACGTCAAGCTTCCGTCGCAGTTCCGTCGCCGCCGCAACCCGAACATCAATTCCAAAGCCCCCCCTTGCCGCAGCCTAAACCTCTGCCCGCCGCCGCCAAACAAAGCATTTTTACTCCCATCGACGACAGCAGGTCCATTCTGGCTCAACACTGGGGACCGAGCACGACCGCCGCGGAACAAGTCAAGGTTGAACCCCAAGAGCCACGCGCCCAATCAATCGACGTAGCCGCGATCGGAAAGCCGCAACAAACAAACGGAACTTCTCCCCAGCAGCCAACCCCTACTTCTCTCCCGAATCTTCCCCAGCGCACCGCATCCACTTCGTCATTGCCTACGATCCCGCCCCCGACGCGAACCAACAGCGTGCAGACCGACGCGAAACGCCCGCGACTCAAGGTCCAAATTCCGGACGAGCACTCGGAAGCGGAAAATACATCTGCGGCATCGCCGAAAGACGGAACTACAACCGGCGCAACCACGGCAAGAGGCAGCACCGAGGCATCCCATTCGTCTGGTGTCGTCTTGCCTCCACCTTCCCCAAGCGCCAGCGCTCTTCTCAGTGCTGGAGCAACGGGGCCACCAAACCCTTTCGCCAGGCCAGCGCCACCCGTCAACAACAACAACAACTACGGCAACCGCGACAATATGGAAACGCCGATATCGGCACTGCCAAGCCGCTTTGTTGCAGACGGGCTCCTTCCATCGCCATCCAGCTTCTACCCCGAATGGGGTTTTGGCAACTCCTCAAACATGCTTCCCAGCCCTCTGACCTTCCAAACGCCGGTCGTGCAAAACGGGCCGAGTTTCCGGGACGAGGACCGGGAAGACCGAAAGAGAAAAGCTTCTGAAGGTTCTCAAGGCGGGGATAGCAAGAAACAAAAGAGTTGAGTAATCGTAATTTTTATGTTTTGGAGGAACTGTTAGAACTGTACCATCTTTTTGTTCTTTCTTTCATACCCTTTCGCGCTATTCACTTTTGGATACCCTGAGGTTTCTACGCTCGCTTCGCGGGGCCTGGTTGGCGCCCGTCTTTCATTCTCCACTAGGGTCTAGGGATGCTTCTACTTGTTTTGGTGTTTTTTGGACAGTCGAATTTCGGAAGACTTGTACATAGTTCTACTCGATTTCACGGATGAAGCGCTGTTCTGGCGGCAATTTTACGCGTCATCGCATGCATGGACTCGGTGTGTCTTGGTGAAGCGCCACACGGCAGCCCAACGGCACCAACGGAGCTGCCGCGAGCCGTGTGGCGGTGCAGACTCCACGCAGGTTTGCTTTCGACGGTTTTGGCCAAGAAGGCCCAGGTTGAGGTCGAGCACGAGGCCGTTTGGTTGGGCCACGGCCCGGACGGTTGCCGCGCGAACCGAGTATGGGATTGATGATTGGTGGGCGGATGAAGTCGTCTGGGTATTACTGCATGGCGGGCAGCGACGTCAATCAACACCGCCAAGACCGTGCCCAACGATGCGAGTCAACTCTATGCCCCACCAGGTCATCTACAACTACGCCACTACCTATCCCTGATCGCCGCAAATCCTACAGTCTGCCTTTTCTAACGACCGAGCGTATGACCGCCTGAGCACTACTACCTCCATTGGCTCACCGCATTGCGAAACCACCGTGCCCTGTGACCTCTGAGGCTGTGAAGCTAGCTGTCGCACAAATACTCGCTCTTCCCTTCTCCGCAGCTCGTCAACCTTACAACAAACAAACATGGCATACAACAGAGGCTACAACCCCGACGCCCTCCCCGCCCACGCCGAGCCTGACCAGGTCAGCCTCACCACACCCTGAAGCTTCTCTCAACTGACGCGCGACAGGCCGCAGCAGCCCTCAGTGGAGGGGGCAGTCTTTCTCACGCCCACTCTTACTCGCGCACCTCGCCGCGTCCGGGACACGCGTCTCCGCATCTAGGACCATATGCCTCGAAGCCGCAGCCTCCTTCCCCTCATGGCGCCTACGGTCGTCCGGCGCCAGACCCGTATGGCCGTCATGGTAGCTACGACACGGGCCGTCAGCACTCGCCGCGTCCGCCCCCAAACAGCTCATTTGCCCACTCCGGCTATGGATCACCGCCACCCCAAAACTATGGCGCCGCGCCCCCTCCTTCGAGCTTCAACCACGGCAGGCCGCCGCTCAGCCCCCACGCACGTCCGCCTGTCAGCAGCACACCTGCGCCCAGAGATCCCAACGATCGTGACGCGCTGTGGAGGTTATTCGGCGCTGTGGACAAGAATCAGACGGGACAATTGAGCTTTGACGAGTTAAGGAAGGCACTGGTGAACGGCGACTGGACGGCCTTTGATACACACACCGTGCGCATGATGATTCGGTTAGTATTTTCAGTGTACTTCTAAGTACGCATACTGATTGGGTTAGGATGTTCGACACGGACCGCTCAGGAACGATCAACTTCGAAGAGTTCTGGTACGCTTCACGTTCAAGCCTGATGACGATAAACTGACTGTCGTAGTGGCCTTTGGGCTTTCCTCGCGGCCTGGCGCACGCTTTTCGATCGCTTCGACACTGATCGCAGCGGCAACATTTCATTCAACGAGTTTTCGGACGCGCTCATCGCCTTTGGATACAGACTGTCGCCGCAATTCGTCACACTTCTATTCCGCACCTACGACCGCGGCAACCGGAATTCGATTTCGTTTGATCTCTTCGTCCAGGCCTGCATCAGTTTGAAGAGGATGACGGATGTTTTCAAGCGGTTCGACGAGGACAGGGACGGATATATCACTCTTAGCTTGTAAGTTACAGAGTCCCGCTTTCGACCAAGGAAGAGGAAGAAAATGGCTAACATTCCACAGCGAGGAGTTCCTCACAGGTGCACAGTCCCTCTTCCTGTTTAACTCGATATCCGAAGATACTGATACCGGCCTCTATTAAAAGAAATCATTCGGCAACGTTGAGACCATCGGTGCGAGAACAGACGAACACGGCGGCACTTCAGGAACGCCGCGCTTACCATGGACGGCCGGTACAAGCATAGATGCGATCTCAGCGGCTGCCAAAAGTTTCGGCGCGTTGGGAATGGCGCTCAGGTTTCAAATTTGCGTTGCTTTAGTATCGGGACAATGGCGGACTTTATGATAGTGCAAGCTAGTCAGGGTATACCCCGACAATGGTGATTTGATTTGAGACGGGCGGGGTGAGAGCTAACTCCTTTTTTCGCGATATCCTATGGTTGTTTTTTACTGCGTAGTTTAATCAGATCACCATCACCAGAACCATCTCGCTTTCGTTTCCAATTTTCGTACTCGCACTCGTGTTGCATTTCCCCTCCGTCCAACGCAACGCCACAAACGGGACAGGGCTCGGTCGGTCCCGCACGCCTTCGTGCGAGCCGAGCCGAGGTGGATACGATGATGATATGAGTAAGTGTTTGGTGGTACACGACTACGTAAGCGGATTTACTGTAGACTACTGCAGGTCGAGGGGTCCAATATCTTCAACGTTGCTACTCCGTACTTCTCGTGCGTTGCCCAGTCAGGCCTTCCATCTACTTTCTTTCTCTTCCCTCTCGCAACGGCCAGGCATCACCGTTGCTGGTACACCACGGCACGACCCATAGTGCCAGCATGCTCAACCTCCGTGGCAGCGAAATACCAGCTTTTCCTTATTCATGGGGTTTTGAATCAGAATATGCACTAAAATATTCTCCTTTCCATCCTTGTGCCATGGAATCTCCTGATGTGTATAGATCTGTCGCACAGAATGTCAGGCTTTCCTTGCATCACGCGTTGCGCGACAGGCTGTATACATTCCACAAAGCAGCCGCCTAACACCATAAATCACCACGTGTCTGGGTATATCCCATGTTGGTCGACACTGAAACATAGCACTGCTCACAGGCAATCCAATGTTGGCCAATCGCATACTCGGCTTTTTGCTCCCCGTAGCACATGCGCAATACAGACTTGTTGATAGTTATACGCCAGCAAACTTCTTCAGCAAGTTTAAGTTTTGGACTGTAAGTGCTCGCGGGGTTTGTGGAGCTTTACATACTAATGCTTTGGTTTAGTCTGTCGACCCTACCAATGGCTACGTTCAATATGTCAATCAGTCAGTGGCAGAAGAAAACAAGCTCATTGCGGCCATCGACACCATTTACATGGGCGTCGATATGACCAATGTCTACGACGTGGGGGGCCCGGGAAGACCAAGCGTTCGCATTCAGAGCATTGACACTTACAATCGCGGCCTCTTCATCCTCGACCTCAACCACATGCCCTGGGGATGCGGAACATGGCCGGCATGGTGGACAGCAGGAAACTTGACCAATTGGCCAGCGGATGGCGAGATAGGTAAGGAAGTCCGCACGTATTGAGTTTAGCTGACTTGTCAGATATCATCGAGGGGGTGCATACGAACACTCTCAACACAAACCAGGCATACACATCAGACGGCTGCTCCGTAGCAGGAACTGGCCAGACAGGGGTAGCGGATGACTTGAACTGCAGCGACGGTTGTGGCAGCACGGCGGGCAGCTACGGCAGCTATGGCGGCGACTTCAACACGGATGGCGGAGTGAGTAATGTCCTCCAATGGCGAAGCTGTGCCTACCTAACATCCCAGGTCTACGCAATGGAATGGACGTCCTCGTTCATCCGCGTGTGGTTCTTCCCCCGCGGCCGCATTCCACCCACCATCACAACAGCGGCGCCCGACCCGGCCGAGTTCGGCACGCCCATGGCCAATTTCCAAGGAAACTGCGATATCGACGCGCATTTCATCAACCACCAAATCATCTTCGACATTACCTTCTGCGGCGACTGGGCCGGCCCGGCCTACCAGGACGCCGGCTGCCCTATGTATCAGGGAATGGATTCTTGGGACAGCTGCAAGCACTTTGTCGCTGGCAATCCGGACAAGTTCTCTGATGCGTTCTGGGATATTAATTCCTTGAATGTCTACCAGCAAGATGATCCGTTTCCCCATGCCGTCCCGTCGTCGTCGGTCCCCGCGCCTACGCTTTCGGATTCCGTTGCGCTGGGCAAGAATGCGGGCGTTACTTCTTTGATACCGTCAATATCGCCGGTGATCCCCACGACCGCGTCAACAAGTAAGTCTGCCATTCGGCTCGCTCTTTTCTTCTGCTCGTACTGACTGACCGTCAGCAACCCACGCCATCTTTTCCATCTCTGCCGAGCAAGCCACCCTTGACCAAGCCATCCCGCAGTCCACCACCACCACCACCACCATCAGCCAAGACATGTCAGCCACCCCCGCCTTCACACCCGCAGCCACCCAGCCCTGCTCCCCGTTCACGTCCTACAACGGCCCGTGGGGCGGGTTCCGCACCGGCATTGGCGGCGTGGCCGGCGGGCAGGCCATGTGCGAGACCAACGCGTCGGAGAACAACTTCTCCGACTACCTCTACGTGCACTACCAGGGCGACGACGGCAGCCCCCTCGGCTACTGGGACTGCTGGGCCGGTGGCGTGCAGGTCCAGAGCGTGCTATGCGGCAGACTGGGAAGGAGGCAGGCGTATACCTCGACCCCGAATGCGGCGCGCGTACCCGACTTCCAGATCTATGAGCAGATGGCGAGCGCGGGCTTGCTTGAACCTACTCCTAGCGTCCTTTCGCCTGCCTTCCCTTCAAGCTCTCAGGATGCGCTGCCCCCGTTCCAGCCGGCCTTTTCTTCGTTCACGCAGCCGTACGCCGTTGCTCCGAATGACCTCCCTGCTGTCATCACAGTTAGCACCGCAGCGCCACTGGACACCTCTCCTTCGAGTATTCCGGATGTTTATTCCAACGCGCTCAATGCACCATTTGTCTTCCCGGATGTCATCTCAGCCACTCCCGCAACACTGGGTATTTCTCCAGATATTCAACCAGACTATGAACCCAACAACGCCGCTATATCGAGCGTCCCCGCTGTTGTCATTGTCCCGGAAGACACAGTCACATACGCCCCCATCCCCACAGACAACGCCCCCGCAAACAATATTCCCCTCCTAGAAGCCCAACCGAGTCCCTTCTCGCCAAACCCCCAGCCCGACCCTCTCTCGCCAAACCTCCAACCCATCGCCCCCCAGCCAGATGCCCAACCCAACCCCGACGTCGTCGTCCTCGTCACCACCTGGGTCGTCGACACAGCCACCGCAGCCGTCACCGTCACGCTCGCCGGCGCCGCCTTTGCAGCGACTTCGGTGGCGCTGGCCGCTGCGTCGGCGGTCGTAACGGCGGCTGAGCCTACGGTCACGCACATGAGGTTCTATACTGTGACGGAGACGAGGTGGTTCCAGGCGCCCGAGTGTGTGCGGGTTCGGGGCTAATGCTCGGTGTTGTGATATGTTGGGGGCCGGTGGTATATTAATAGGTATCTTTCAGATGTATGTTGATGTGTGTCCTTGTGACGAGATGTGATTGTGTGGTGAAGGTCCGAGGGTGGAAGACGTGCGTGCCCGTTGACGCCAGTGTGCAACGCCAGTTAAGTTGGATATCCAAGGCGTGTCCCATCAACGAGCCCTCCCCATAACCCTGTCCCGCGCGTTCTTGCGCTCGTCCGGGGCCGAGTCAGAGTGCTCGGTCATGTACGACGAGTGCGTCTGCTTCTGCTGCCACTCGCGCTGCTGGCGGTTCTGCTCGTAGGCGACAATGTCGTCGGGGGTGAGGGAGATGACGGTGGCGGGGCGGCGGAGCATGGTGTGCGTTGTGTTGTGTTGTGTTGTGGTTGTGGTGACGCCAAGAAGTCGCGCAAAGTCCTACGGATACACCCGCCCACGACCACCTCAGCCATCCCACCGACGACGACCATGCCCGCCGCCATGCTCAAGAGGCATTGCAGGCCCGCCGTCCGCAATGACCTGAACGCCCTCTGCAATGCCGTTCGCGGCTTCCACTTCTCTCCCGCCCGCCTTGACGACAACAACAACAGCAGCAGCGCCGCCGGTGCTGGTAAGCAAGCAACCACTTTACTTTCCCTTGCACCCACTCACTCACCCGCTCTCGCCAGCAGCTCCCCTCGTCTCCGCCCGCGCCCGCTCCGCCGCCGCCAGCCAGCGCATCCAGTCCATCAACCAGCCGCGCCCCAAACTGCTCACGCCGCGCCGCCCGCCCGCCCAAGACGCCAACGGCAAGCCCGCCCCGCGCCTCGTCATCCGCCGCGAACCCGTCAATAGCCCCGGTGACTCGAGCAGCAGCCGGCCCCCTCCTCGTTTCCAGGCCAGAACCGGCTCCCGCGGCGGCTCCCGCGGCGGCTCCCGCGGCGGCCCCCCCGGCCGCTTCGGACCAGGCGCGCGCTCAGGGCCCGGTGGCCGCCCCGGTCAGAACCGCCAGCGCGGCGGCGGCCGCCGCCCCCCCAGGAGAGGAGACAGGAGAGACGCCCCGGCGGCCGAGTCGGCCGAAATCTCCGACACCATGCTGCGCTACCTGGTGCAGCTGCGGGGCGAGCAGCGCGCGGTCCGCGACTTTGAGCCGCGCGAAGAGCAGCCCGCGGGCGTCCTGAGCGCCGGCACCGCGACGCTGGGCCAGCCCGCCGGCGCGACGGCCGTCCTCGAGGAGCGCCTGCGCTTCCTCGCCAGCCGCAAGGAAATGGAGCCCGTGTCGCTGCAGATGCTGGCGCGCCGCCTCGTGCGCGGCAACTTTGTCAAGTTCGCCGACGACAAGGAGCGCGATGCCGTGCTCGCCCTCGTCGCCGAAAACCAAGAACGCATCGCCGCCAAGCTGTCGGCGAAGAAGGGCCAGGAAATCAAGCCAAAGCCCATCGAGTTCGAGGAGCTTGCGGGCCTGCCTCGCCAGCGCACTACCGACTCCGTCGTCGCGGGTCGCTACGCGGTCCAGCAGGGCGACTCTTGGCAGGACAGGGCCCTGCGCTCCCTCAATATCAATGGCTCGTATGCTGGCTCCGACGCCCAGAAGTTTATGAGCAGGGTCGATGCCATTGCTGGCGCTCAGGGTGCCGCCAGGTCGGCCAGGCGGGCTGCTTAGTTCATGTAGAAAAATTGTATCATCTGGGTTTGTATCAAATACACGGTTCCAGGGCTATACATCCCGTCAATGCCAAGTGCCTTTATAGAGGCAAAGGTGCATAAAGTTGTTTCGAATATTATTCATATCCCTATGATGAATGGTGTTTTGTAGAAGCGGAAGTAACCATATCCGTAGATTTGAATTCGCAAAGATAACCATATTCACCCAGTTATCTAAAATGCTCTTTGAGTTCATTTTATTTTAATTCTAGATAAAATCCGAGTCCACGCATAGAGCTAGATATGCAGTTACAAGGAAATGTAATTTGTAAAAACACCCGTCAGACCGCCTACCGCATAGGTATGCACATCAGCTGTGAGCGTACCGGGGAAGCGGTCACGGATCGACAATCGATCATCTCCGGGTCACGTAGTATGTAGTAGATCGATCTACTCAAACAAGGCAGGATCAACTCGACTTCATACATGCTTGCAATTTTAACTAGGTAGGTGGGCAGGTAGTATACATCTTGGGCGCGAGCAACTGCGTGCAAAGGCTAAGATACAAAAAAAAAAAAAGGGGGGTATATAAGCACGGAGCCTGAAGCAAGGACGAAACAAAAGCCAGCAACCGCCACCAACGTGCGTATCAGGAGTATTGTACCACGTAGGTCTATCGACACTCACTCACGCACTACGACCAGTTGATGCAGCTCACGAGGTCGTCGTCGCCGCGCTCCGCGTTGCAGCGCGCGCTGAACATGATGTTCTCGGTGCGGTTGCCGCGGTGCTCGTCGATGACCTTGCCCTCGTTGACCAGACTGCTCGCCTGGCCCGCCGCCTGCTGGTGGTGGAAGATCTCCGGGTTGGAACTGTAGCAGCGCAGGTCGTGCGACCGGCACCGCGTGTGCATCCACAGGTCGAACGCCTGCTCGTTCCCGTGCTGCATCGCCAGCATCTTGCCCACCGACGCCCGGTTCACGGCGTACGCAAACGTGCAGATCGGCCCCGTCGCGTGCTGCACCCATCGCAGGTGCTTCGGATCGCTCATCCGCGGGTCGTAACTCCCTATCACCTTGGGCAGCGTCTCGTCGTAGTACGTGATGTAGTCGTCAGCAAACGGGTTCTGCTCCTTTCTCTTTCGCTCCCGGAAGTGCGAGTTGGCGTCGTCCTGCTCCGGCTCCTTTTCCTCTTCAAACGGCATCTTCTCGCCGCAGTGCCCCAGCCAGAGAATGTCCCAGTTGTCGCCCCAGGGCTCTGGATTCGCCGTGCGCGTGAGCTTGCGCAACGCGGCGCTGATGTTGCGCGCCTGCTCGTGGATCCGAATGTCCCAGTCCGAGTCGTCTTCCATGATCAGCGCCGTCGTGAAGTTCCCGGCCGTGGCTATGACTTGGAGATGGGCGAGCCATGCTTTGGCCGACCCGGTGTTGAGATTGCCCGAGCGGCTGCGCGACACGAAATCGTTGATTTCGAGGTCCGTGGGCTTGCGCTGGGGTGGAATGACTACCGAGAGATTCGTGCGGCCAGCTGCGGCCTTGAGGCCTTCGGATCGCCATGACTTTTCGGGGGAGACGGCGAGGATCGTTTGGAACTAAAATGTGTCAGTATTTTCTTGTATGGTTTGCGCTGCGCATGCACCTACACCCAGCGTCGCGTTGTCCGTGCCTGTCAGCTCTATGGGGATTTTGACCGAGTCATGGGTGGGTGGCACGCCGTCTGGATGAAGGTTACCCGACGATGGAATGAGGCTGGCAGCGCCGCCGGTGAGTGGCTTGTCCTCTGGAGACTGCGGGGGAGGCCGCGGGGCCCCGGGAGTGTCCTCTGGATGTCCCGTCACGCCGTCTGCGGGCAAGTCTGCAGACTGCAAGCCAGCCTGGGCGGCTGCAGGCTTAGTGTTTGGCGGAGGCGACTGAGGCAGCTGCGGCTCGGACCGGAAATCACGAATGTAATCAAAGTGCCAGAGGAAAAGGAAGAGGAAGAAAAAGGCGAGGACGGCGCTCGCGCGGCGCGAGTGAGAGAAAGGAAGCAACATGGTCACAGGTAGTCCATGATCGAGCAGAGAGAGGAGCCTCCAGCAGGAAGGCAGGCACTCCTAGGGGCGAGGGGCGCCATTATATTACCTAGGCGGCGGCGGGCGTAAGGGGCCAAAGGCCAAAGCGATTGGTCGCGGGCCGCAGTGAGAGAGATGTTTGGCTTGGCGGGTGGCACTGCGGGCTGGCGAGACAGAAATTGGTGGTTAGATTCGACTGCGGGCGCGCATGGAGCCCTGTCCGCCTCTAGCGTGGCCGCCAAGCGTGGCAAGTCTCACCACTGCGCCCCGCGCCTTGAGCCTCTCTATCCGAAACGACATTCCGTTACTGGATTCCTACCGAGCTTCCTTACATGCATGCACATTAAATTCCACCTGTTTCACTCCAGTACGACTACCTCCTCCGCGCGTCCAGGTCACTCGTGCTGGCCAGCAGGAACTTGCAGCATATCAGCACATCCTTGCATGCTCGAGTCCACGACTCCTCCTGGTTGAAGCTGAGCTTGATGCTGGTGTCGCGAATCTTGTCCTTGCGAATCGAGTAAGGAACTGTCAATCCCACCTCGCTCATCTGTCTGAGACACTCCAAGAAGCCCACCATGGCGTTGTCGAAGCTTCGATGTAAAAATCCAAACCCGAGAGGCAAGTCCCCAGAGCAAAAGAGGTCGTACGTCGTGCTTGGCTCGAGTCTTTCGATCGTCGACGCCGAACCCATCGGATTCAATCTCCAACCTTTGAACGTGTAGCCCACCTTTTCCGCTACCGTCGCCAACAACAAGCAAGTCTGACCCCATGCCGCGTTGATTTCCTCCCATCCCACCATCGTCTGCGAAGTCCTACCCAGACGAAGTCCGTTGATCGTTGCGAAATTTCCATCGTGTCCAATCGTAAACGTGTCGTTGTACACATTCGTACGCTGAAGTCGTTGTGATTGTTTAATGTCGTGATCGTAACGGTTGTTGATGCGATCGCGTTCGCTCTGGTAGACGGACAGAGTGACAGAGAAACCGTTGCGCTCTTTCCAGAATGATTCCTCCTCTCTGTCAAGCTCCTGAGCTTCCACGTCGAGCTTTAGGATTTCCTCGTCCATGGCAGCCTTTTCCCGTTCCAGACGCTCCAGCTCCAGAAACGCCGCTTCTTCTTGTTCCCTGGCTTTTTCCAACCTAACATTCGCTTGCTCCTGCTCTTCCTCTGCAGGTATGTCCGCGTTGGCTTGACGTAGATACTCGACGTAGGCATCCCGTTCCTTAGTTGCAGTGTGCAGTCGCTTTTCCAGCCCTTCAACCAACAGCTCGGTACATTCCACGCATATAGGTTGGTCAATGTCAGACCGTGCCGATAAGACCTCGAACAACCGTTGAACAGTCTCCATTTTGTCTGGTGTCTCAGTGTTCTTGTGTGAGACTTGCGAGTCTGCCAGCATCACGAAGGACATGGACTGGTCGTGTCTGCCAGGTACCATCCTCTTGGACATGGGAGTAGGCACCTTTCGTGATATGCGCCCGTACTCATCGCGACGATCTTGGGAGTAGGCATTGTGGTGTACGAGAGGGCGTTTGGCTGGCTTGGTGGAGTCTGTACGGGTTAGCGCGTGTGCGTCAAGCGCGGGACAAGGACGTACCGGTCAGCAGCTTAAAAGCTGCCGGATTCAAGTCTTCCAGCGAGCCATCGAGCTTGACGGGCGTCCTGCACTTCTGGCAATGCATAGCGGCGGCGTGTGGGGTGGAGGATGTGGGGTGAAGGCGCGAGTAGACACGACTCGTGAACGCGACGCACGAGCCTGACGTAGGGCAACGCGAGTCATTCATCCCGAGTGGTGGACGCCCTGACGCGAACCGACGTGATTTCCGCTCCCTCACCTCTAACACCCGCGATGGAACGACCACGATTGCACAGCGCGCTCCCCGATGCGCAATATGAAGACCTGGCGGCGCTCGAGAATAACCGTCAATTGAACGACTTGCGCCTCAAAGGCACTTTCGAACATATTTTCCAGAAATACTCGCGCGATTTCAGCAACGTCGGCGACGAAATCGACCTCCGGACCGGCGAGATTGTCGTCAACAATGGTCATGTGGCGGGGATGATGGATGAATGTGATACTGGGGAGGACATATGGCGTGAAGTAAGTATTTCCTGTGGAGCAGGGGACAAGACTGACTGACTCTTCAGAGTGACAGCGAATCTGAGAATGAAGCACGAGAGCAGCCCACTGAGCCTTCAAACCCTGGACTCGCGGCGATGGATGGTCCCGCAGCGACGAATGGCCCCGTAGCGACAAATAGCCCCGCACAAGATCCCCAAGCCGCTCTTCAAGCACTCGGACAAAGCATAGCCGCGCAAATTGGACAATTTATGCAAACATTTCCGAATGGACCCAACGTGGATCCTATGTGGGCAGTTCCACCTTTGCCAGGCATGCCTCAAGTCACACAAACACCGGGCAGAATCATGCAGAGGCCAACCAGTTCTATAGGAAGATCTATCTGGGCTCCCGAAAGCATTGGACGGCCGCGTAATGTCTTCACGCCAGGCCAAATTGTTTCGCGGGATACGCATGGGAATCGACGAGATCGTCGTCCACGGGGGATACGCTCACGGGAGACACGCTCACGGGAGCCACGCTCGCGGGAGACATCTATCAATATCCAACACTCACCTCGACGCCGTTCCTGGGATTTGACCGTAAACGCGACTAGAGATTCACCTAGGTTCACCACGCGAATATCAGGATCTGAACCTGCCCAAGGCCCACGTCGATCATCTTCCCGTATTCCTTTGGCGCGGGAAATGTACCCTGGCAGCATCAAATACAATCCGCACAATACTCGTTTGGATGGTGAGCATTTCGATTCACATGAGGATGAATCAGTAACCTCTGGATGTGACCCAGTGAGTCCCGTGAGCAAAAAAAACAACCATCGGCCCTGGACAGAAGAAGATGAAGCAAAACTCTTGGAGCTGAGGAAAAAGAAGCTCGATTGGAGTGCTATTGCAAGTGTTCTCGGGAGACCAGAGTATGCGCCCAGGAATCACTACTTCAAAAACATGCTTCACGGCCAGAAAAGAAAGAGGGAGGTCTTGGAGGTTCCGGAGGTTCCGGAAAATCAGTTTTCCCTTGATGTGGCAACGCCATCAACTACTGTGTCTGATTCCGCGGCAAACAACAGGACGGATTTGGCCAAAACCCCGACAACTCCCAGTGGCTCAATTTCTTATAATTGTGAATGCGGCAAGCGGTACGGAACCTATGGTGGTTTATACTATCATAGCAGGAATTCAGATTGCAACGTTACACTTCCTTCTCAGCGTACAAGTATCAACAAAAAGCGGACGGCATTCCTGAAACTCGTGGAGCTCAACCCTTCTTACGCCGATCGGGATTACAAAACGTGTACTTTGCAGAATATGAAGAAGGAATTGGATGAGCTTCAGCCAGGTTGGGACGCAGAGATCTTGGTGGCCATGGCGGGAGCAACTGAGTCAGTGAAGCGAGCAAAAGTAACAAAAGAGACGAAACCAGGCCGAGCTTTGGAGATTTCGAATCAACCACTGGAAAGAGATCAGCCTTTGCCGGTGGAGCTGGGTCAACCACTGGAGTTCGAGCCGGATCAGCAGCCTTCGGAGGGGACGAATTTCCAGTTCCTGGAGATACCGGACTCTCAAGCTTCACAGGTGACAATGTCTGATGGGCCTTTGGAAGGGATCATAGAAGCTGCGGCAGGGATGTCACCAGCAGCAGGCTTTGTGCAAAGCTCAACCACCACCATTGACCCCTTCAATCTGGAATCGGGGATCAGAGGTGACATGAGTGCGGATGCAAAGGACGCCCTTGGTGCACGCCGGAAGTCCCGCAAGGAAAGCAGCACTCGTACGCCCAAACTCTTGCAAAAGTCGCCCTCAGAACATACTCCACAGCAGCCTGTGCGGCTTGATCCCGTCACTCACAAAAAACATCGCGTTGAGGTCGCGATTTCGCAAATGAGGAATCAGGAGACTGAAGAGTCGACAGACGGGTCCGCTGAACACGCCCGGAACCAAGCTGCAGCAAAAGAAGCTTTGCAAACTCCGAACACTCTCCAGTCCATTGACAGCACAGCGTCCAGCAAAGGCCGACCAAATGGGAAACATCCTTTTGTGGTCAAGACTCCATCTACGAAGAGGAGTGGCAAAGCGACAGAATCAATTGTTGAGAACCTAGTCAATGGTTCCTCAGGGAAGCCTGTCGTGAAAGCCGTGGCCGACACTCCTGTCAACGCCTCGGCCGCAAAGTCACCCGCAACACCTGGTGTTAGAACTCCCATAAACGCCTCGTCTGCCAAGTCAATTGCGAAGAAACCCTTCGCAACTCCTGCCAACGCTTCGCCTAGGAAGAAGTCAAATGGAGAACTGCCATCTGCGAAGCCATCTGCGAAGCCATCTGCGAACTCCATGACCGAGGCTCCTGCACAGAATACAGAGGGCACGGCAGCGAAAAATCGAAAAGCCTCGGCCACGGAAGCTGAAGCCTCTCCCACTGCAAAAACCCCAAAGTCCACCGCGGTCCACCGGCTTCAAGCTAGCGGCCCGAAAAACCCGTCGACGCCACAAGTGGAGTCCAGCACGGACAAGCGGGACCCTGGAACGGTTCGTGGACCAAAATCAGGGTCGAGGCTGTCGATTCTTGACATGATGGATTGCTCCGAGGATGAACTTGCTTTTTAGAAAGATGTACGATTTAGTGATCATTCGTCATCGTTCGTATACCCATTCTCCAATCCTGCCTGATGTCTTGCTCAGATTGACCCTGTCATCTCAATACTCGTACGTGATGTCCGGCCACTAACTTCCAGAGGAAAAGGATCGGATTTGGGCAGTGAATTGGGCGCCGATGTCGTAAGCCAGGCGAGGCGGATCTACAAGGTGGCTCTAGCATGCGGACGAACCGGATCTACGACGCATGAAGCGGATCTAAGTGAGGACCGTACCCGCGCTCTGGGCGCTAGATGCTCAGAAGATACGTCATTGAAAGTCAAAAAGAAGTCGGGCGTTTACAAGCGGGCACGGCGGGTAAGGCTGAGAAAGCCGAAATAAAGCCGGCGGTAACACGCAATCTTAGACCATGCGATAAATAGGGGCCTCGAGTACGAAACTTCGCTTGGCTGATCCTACTGCACATCAGGCCCAGTTGATCCAATGGCACGCGATCGTGGTCTGTCCACTGCGGCACCTGTGCCATTGCGAGCTGCTGGTATGTACCTGCAGTACTTACGGTTGCCAACGAGAGTTCAAGCTAATTATTAGTTAATAGGCCGAAACGAAAAACGTTGTATCATCCGGCATGCACTAGGTTTCTACCGCGCCCTCATCATTACCGGACTTTACTCCACACACGACAAAGTCAACGGAATCGAGACTTTCATACCGGCAGTCAAACACTGTCTTTCCACACACTCAATTTTGAGTGCAGCGATCAAAGGCCATGACACGGAAGAACCAGAGTTTGTCCGACCACCGCTATTGAACCTACGCAATCATATCCGAATTATTGAACCGGCATGCGTTGGCCATGGGGATGACGACGAACTCAGCCGGCTGAAGCACGTCTTGGGTCAGACCCACGATCAGGTCTTTGAGAACTGCCACATCATTCCTCCTTGGAGGATCGTGATCCTGCCTTTACATGCAGACTCAAAAACCGGCATAAAGAGATTTTATATTGCCTTTGCTTTTTCTCACTCCCATGGCGACGGAGTGGCAGGTCTCGCCTTTCACCGCACATTCGTCGAAGGGCTTCAAGGTCAAGGAATCACCACAGTCCGCCACGGCACGGATCCTCGATACCAAACATCCGACATACCTCTTCTTCCGCCACTTGAAGAATTGGTCGACCTTCAAATCTCCAACTCCTACCTCATTAAACCAGTACTTGGTGCATACCTACCAAGGTTCGTTAGCGGAATTCTGGGGATTGAGGCATCCACCACTCCTCAAGCGGCGGATATGTGGCGAGGAAAGCCGGCGAGTTACAATGAGAACAACTTCCACACGGGCATGGAACTCGCAATTGTCAAGGACGATACTCTTCAAAAGGTATTGAAGCTCTGTCGAGAGAAAGAAACAAAGTTCACTGGTCTCCTTCATCAAGTTATCGTTCGCGCGTTGAGCGAGGCTTTGCCACCTGATGCGCCGGCAAAGAACTTTGTTGCTCAGACTGCCGTTGACCTACGAGGAATGATCTCTGGCGTAACGAAAAACGACATGGCGCTTTGCAACACCGTGGAACATCATCTCTTTCCTCGCGACTCCAAAGCTACAAAAGGCAGACCTCGATCAGATTCCACGGGCATTGCGCGAGAATCTGTGGATCCTAGGATCTGGGAGCGTGCTCGGGAGACGACCAAAGCTCTGGCGGCACGCGCCACTACCCTCGAAGACCATCCCGTTGGCCTACTGAAGTACTTGAACGACTTCCGAAAGTGGATGACCGGCCAGATCGGCAGGGAACGCGACTCGAGCTACGAGTTGAGCAACGTCATGTGCTTTGATCCCGATATCCCTACGGCGGCGGAACCGACCATTACATTGCCCATCGGCAGACCACCCACCCGAAGCGCGACTACGGGAAGCGCCCCGACGTTGGGGAAGCCAGGTATTTCGACTATATTCTCGCCGCCTCAGAGCCCTCAAGGCCCTCCACCAAGCCCGATCCGGCGTACTGCGAGCATGACGGAGAATGAGAAAGCATGGAATGTTGGTAGAGTCATTTTCTCACAGCCGGCCAACGCCGTCGGAAGTCCGGTGTCTTTCAATGTCGTCACGAGGAAAGACGGCGATATGGTCGTGGCTCTCACGTGGCAGCAGAACGTGTTGGGTGTTAGAGATGAAGAGGGGTGGGCGAGAAAGGTTTGCCAGGTTATTAAAGAGGTGTTGTGTGGAATTGCATCAGGGAATTAGCAGGATGGGTCAGGCGTTGGGCAGTTAAAAGATACCATGAATTTTAAGTTGGCGTTGTACCTATATGTCAACAATTCCAATTTCTTCAAATCTACAAATACTGCCGCCACAGTCTTCGACTCGATACCATTCATACAGTTGGGTACCAACAAACGCGTAAACTCTTCCGGCTTGGTTTGCTGAAATTGGTGACAGTGCTCGAACCTTGTTCATAGATTGAACCTTGATGCTTTCCCAATCAGAATCTACACCGTAATATCGTGCAACGGTAACGCCACCATTCTCGCCGGTTGTTAAAACTTGTATGAGACGTTTGCCTTCTTCTGATTGTGTGAGTGCAGTTATGGAACTGTCTTTGTTCATGTCTATCTTCGTACGGTCACCTAAACGGTTAGTATTCTGATGATACCTTGAACTGATAGACCTACTTAGATTCCAATCCTGGAACTTGTAATCAATGTAGAGGAATTGCTCCAATACCCCGGTATTGACAAATAAAGAAACTGTGGGTTCTTTGTTGTCTGCTCCAAGTAGAGTGGCCATGGTAAAATCGGCGTTATCAACATTTGGGGTTTTTTCTCTACTGAAAAACACAGATGAAGAGTTATAAACTCCATCGAGGGTATATTGAACAATCTCAAGAGATCCGTTGCCGCTTGTTCTCTGGTAAACCAGATAGTTTGCCTCCCTACATATAGAGCACTGTTTACTGTAGGAGGCTAGTTTCGAGTCTTCATGCGCGACGAAAATCTTGTCGATTGGGCCTAGTGACCATTTGTCGGAGTATTTTAGCTGGCGGATATTGTTTCCCTTGTCAAGGAAGTAGAGGTGTATTTCTCGCTAAATAGTTAGCTAGGTCGAAGTTATAATGTTGTTGGGTCTTACAGGTTCTTGAACGTCAACCGCTATCGGAGTTTCCCTCTTCGGAGTAAAGGTTGTTTGTATCTCGGACAAAACCCATTTACCGGAGGAATTATCAAAGTCGGCTTGCCAAATCGCCAATGTGTCTTTCTGATAAAAGACCAGATGATGCAGAGCGTCCTTGGAATCTGTGTAGTTTACAGCAGCGAGTCTTGTGTTTGGGAGGAAGGCAGTAGTGATAGAGGCTGCTCCTTCATGGTGCCGCGACATGCCAACACCAACGCCGACACCAACGCCTACACCAATTGCGATCAGCAATGTAAGAATAACAGCAGTTATCCTACCCCTTTTCCACCCATGGAACCCGCTAGGAGCCTTTTCTCCAGAGCCTAGCATTTTAGATCGTTGAGTAACGACTTCGGGGAGATTGTTCGATTCGGCAAGGGGCCGTTCTGGTTCGTTTCTGATAACTTCTGGCTGGTAGTCGCTATGGTCGACTTCCAACGTGCTGTGGGGGCTATGGGGATCCATATCGAGAAGTGCGAGTAGAAGAGGGGAATGCGAGGCTAGAAGGACTTCACTTAAATAACCGCGGTGGCTGGCAAGTGGCAATCTCACTTGCATTATTGACGGAAAGATGCAGAAGCCATGAGCAACCTTACTCCTGCATGTGATTCTCATTTCGTCAACAGCCGGCTCGGATGCGCGTGCTGTGTTACCACTTAAATGTATAAAAAGCATAATGTGCTAACGATAACTAGACTAGCCTAATAGTTTGATTAAGATAAAGGAACTATAGACTTAGAAATATCCTCGAAACTTTTTAGCTAGTATTAGTCTTCGGCTAATATCAGCGCTAGTTATCTACTTTAAAAGCTATGCTTTCTACTTTATTAAACCTCTTTTAACCTGCTCTATAACTTTTAGCTTAATTCTACCATTTCGCATCAGTATAGATATTTAAATTCTACTAGCACGTCTCATTATATACCTACCCAGATAATTGTATTATCTTCCGCACGTACTTTACTTCGCATTCTCTATACGTAACCCCGCTATTAGCCGTTCCTATTCCCCTTAAACGGATGTATTAACTATTATAGTTTACTAATTCTCTCGTAGTATCCTCGTTTTCCGTATACTCTTACTAAATACTATTCTATTACACGTTAAACTAATTCCCATACCCTGCTGTTGTAATCTAACTTAAAGAAAGCTACCAAGTCCTAGAATCGCCTGCTAAATATCTTATACTTAGGCAATAGGCGTGGCCATAAGCCTACTTATAGCCATGGGTGGAAATAGAGACGAGCTGGGTTTACGGCCTTAGAAGAATATTATCGTCGGAAAAGCGGACGCATGGTCATTTGAAATAGTAGGCAGCGTGGTATTACTACCAGGTTAGTGATAGCAGTAGACAAATGCAGCATGAAGTACTTAGTACTGCGCTGCTACTGTCGCCTCTACAGCGTCGTACCTCTTGACGGTTCCAGATTCCAAGCAGGCACTATGCTAATACGTGTTTTCATAAAATCTAAGTTGTGTTCGGACTGTCGGCGCTCTAAAGATAAACGTTTTAAAGGTTGATGTTGTAGTAAGAAACATCTTCATCGCACTGCAGGCGGATGGTAAGTCGAGAACTCTTAAAGTTGTATCCTATCCTGTTCTGCGTAGTGCGTACGTTAATTCTGTGCCAAATTTCGGCTAAGAAAGACATACCTTGAAGGTAAACTTGCTAACTTACACGCCTTCAGCGCCGTTATCCCTCATCCATTCTTCGTTAATGGCGAGAATGTATGCGCCCCGTGGATAGTACCGGTAGCAACATAGCCCGGTACTATTACCTCCGTTCGACTTGAGGTAGCAAGGGTCTACTTCGTTTATGTAAAGGTGGCGGTAATTGATAATAGGGATATTGGTGTCGAGTCCGAGGGATCCAATGGCGGTGTCACCACTAACGTTGTAATAGATACTTTCGTTGAGTAAGTCTTTAGATGAGCTCTTCAAGGCGACGCATTCGCCTCCATTTGTGACCTCGATATTATAGACCTAAATTTCAATTCTCCATTTCTCACCCTGGACGTCGATTCCGTCGGTAGCACCGATTCTGATTTCGCAGGTAATTATGATGCAGATCTCAGGAATCAAAAACGGTATACGGTAAAGCAAGCAGCAGAGCCAACGAGAGTGGCGCCATAGACTGGGAAGCTTTCAAGTTCTTGGAAACGGAAGAATCGCGCATAGTAATCGCCATTCTGCAGAAGTTTGTAGCCGTAGCTTTAGAGAGCGCCTTCTGAGTTTCCACTGAAGAACTCAAAGGCGTAGCAGCTGCGGGTCGAAATCATGTTTCCAGCGTCTTCTCCATTGCGGAAGATGGTGCCGTCGATTTCGATGGCAGATGCATTACCTATCCCAAGATGTTGATTCAGTTGGCCGCACCTGATATGGCCAAGCATCGCTTGGAGAATTTTACCTTCCGCAGTGCGATCATCGTACCAGGTTCTCCGCATCGCCAATGCTGTGCGACAATTGACTCGGTGAAAATTCTTCCGGTGTGGTGTAAGTGAGCATTTATAGCGCTACCAAACATTGTTCTGGCGTAGTATAAGCGAGTGAGTATACTGCTATCAAAAACGAAGCTAACTTACCATGAAGTTATTTATTCTGCTCGTCTTCCTCGCTACGTCTCTCGCGAAGAATGTCTCGCTTAATGTTCCCCTCACCTCCAACTCGACCATCAGACCAATCGACGGCGTATGGCAATCTTTTTCGATCGAGTACTCGTACATGGCGGATTATTTTGGGAACAAGAGGTAGAGTTAGGACAATACTGCTAGTGAAGATACGCTAACAGCATCAGTCAACCCAACACATTCAGTAACAACATCCTCCAAAGCTTGAAGGACCGATCAGGGAAGAACGTTATACTTCGAGTCGGAGGATCCACAGCTAATCGCGTCGCCTACAACGCATCGCAAGAGGAAGCCGTTATAAACGTCTTTGGATCTAACCCCGATCAGCCCTCGCATGTCTACATCGGGCCGGTTTGGTACGAGGCTTTCCAGACAGCACCAGAAGGAACCCTAGTTATCTACGACGTCAACTATCGTGACAACACCTCGGCAGGAGTAAATGCTACCATTGAGGACGCTCGTCGCGTGTGGGATCAACTCGACAATTTATACGCATTCGAACTTGGAAATGAGGTTGAGGGCTGGGGAAAGAACGGACGCACATCCGATTGGAGTCCGGAGTTATATGTTCCAGACTTCCTGAAGTATACTTCTCTCTTAGACTTCGTGGACAAGCCTTTCTTCCAAGGTGGTGTCTTGCAAGGAAGCGGAGGGGCGTATATCAACGAGCCATGGAACTCAGTTCGACTTCTTGAGTTGGAACTGAACCGAGATGGAGATATAAAAGCTATGTCGCAGCATGACGTAGGTACCTAGCTTCCTATTAAGACTCAGCTAATTATCAGTACCATGGCAATAACTGCGACACCACCGACGAGATTCCGGAGGTCCGACAGAACTTACTTAACCACACCAACGTCATCAACCGTGTGTGGCCTCACAAGCAAATGTCATCAGTCGTGGCAGCTCAGAACGTCGAATATGTGTTAGGCGAGACAAACTCGATATCCTGTCAAGGCAGAGACAACGTGTCCAATGTCTTCGCCTCTGCGTTGTGGTACTTAGACTACAACTTGTACGTGGCTGCCCATACAGAAGTAGCCAAGATGTACTTCCATCAAGGAACGCCATACCGGTACAGCATTTGGGCTCCAGATGAGGCAAGGCCGATATACTATGGAGCGCTGCTTCTGGCGAAGGCGTTGGACGGAGAGAAGCAGGTCCTTTCGGTAGCGGAAGAGGAAACCTTCGTGGCGTACTCTTTGTATTCGAAAAATGAGCTGGACTCGGTCATCGTGGTAAACCTAGAGCCGTATAACGCGACCGGAAATGCAACAACTGGGAGAAGATTTGTTGATGTACAGCTTCCAGCAGCAGCGAAGAAGTTGTGGAGATTGACTGCACCTGGAGCGGATGTGAAGACTGGGATAAGGTGGGCTGGACAAGCGGTGCAGGAGGATGGCACGATTGGAGAAGAGATTACAGAGGAAGTTGGACAAGTGGTGCGAGTGCAAGATTCAGAGGCCGTACTTGTAAAGTGGTAGTGTTATGAGTGTTGCTCGGCGTTCTTCATTTCGCCGGGTGTTTTCGGGGAAAATACTCCATGCTGAGTGCATATTTAAGTTTCGTTTTTCTTCATTGTCTGACTTTGTCCTCCCGGTCCCTTCGCGAACGCAGCCGTCGTGGGCTGCGAGGGTGAGTAGGAGATGCTTATGCTGTAGAGAAAGTACACCGAGACGGAATGGGAAGGTGCGGTTGGGTTTTGGTTTGGATGGTTAAGCGTGGGAGACGGCGTGGTTGGTGACGCCGACGAGAACTGTACCGGTTTGGTGGGTTAGCTTTGTAGTCTGCCCTGCTCGGTCCTGATTGCTTGTTTGCGTGCTTGCTTGTTTGCTTGCTTGCGTGCGCGCTTGCTGGCTTGCTGCGTTGCGCACGCAAATAGCAACACATTGCGCGTTCGAAATGCAGACCGACGAGTGACGCATCCGACAAAAGCTCAAAACAACGCTCCCGCATACCCGCACCGAAGTCCTTCACAGCAGGGCTCTAGCTATAACTCTCGCCGCCTTACCACAGCATAGCGCACCGCACCGCACCGCAAAATCGCACCACTAAGACTAAGCAGAAGCACAGCAGACACAGGCAGACCACGTCACTACCCAACATTCCTCGCCTCGCTTCGTGCACTCGTCCAACAGCGCTCCCACGACCCTAAAAGTACCTCCATTCGACGCAGAACCTCCAGCTTACCTCTCCTACCGAGTTGCACCAGGCCGCAGGCGCGTGCGAGAATAGGGAGGTTATCTGGACGGATGGTTCAGTACGACATGGACTAGCGGGAGCAGCAGCAGTAAGATTGGTGAAGGGAAAACCATATACTATCCGAGCCGAAACGGTTGGACGGAGCAAATCCTTCCCAATCTGGGCTGCAGAGCTCCAAGCTATTGCATGGGCAGTAAGTGAGACGGTCGAAGGAGTAACGAAGAAGAAGGAAAAGAGACGGAGGCTGCCGTGGATCGCTAGACGCACGGTGTGGATAATTTCGGATAGCAGAGCCGCGCTTAGGAGGGTAGAGAAGACTGACCCCCAGGGATCAGGACAGTGGCTAGCCGGCGAGATTAGGAGGGGGGTGGAAGCGAGTCGAGCTAAAGGCGTAGACATTAAGTTTGCGTGGATCCAAGCTCACTCAGGGAGCACGGGACATGACGCCGCCGACAGCGCAGCTAAGGAGACTACTAGGCAGGGCCTAGCCCCAACACTTCCCTTCGAGGAGAGGTGGAGGTGTAGGGCGAGCGTCCTCAGCCTACTACGGCAGAAGATTGAGGAAGAGCGGGGAGTAGTCGAGGCTAGACCTACGCCTTGGGGCGGATACTTACGTCGACTGGATGCGGCCTTTCCCGGCAAGCACCAACTGAGGTTATATCTAGGCCTCGGGGCGATTGATTGATTGATTGATTCGTTTTACGTCTATATGCAGTTGGAAACTATGACGGACGGTCCGTTTAGGACAGGCTAGGGGGTTTAAATA